AGCGCTGTTTCATAAGGTTTTTTCTTCGACTTCTCATATAGATGCAAGATTAGCTAACCAATAAAAATTATCATGTAAAAAACATATTAATTAAATCAGGCAGTCGTTACGTTATTAATTAATTTTATTTTTACAATTTTTTTCAGATTTTTGTTGCAATTATTTTTACGTTTAGTATTTTTTGTATCTGTTCATCTTGATGCAGCGCGATGTGTAGTCCTGTATTCCCGTATTAATTAATATAAAGAATATATACCTATTTCTACTGTATTTTACAATTTATATTATAGAGAATATAATTACATTTATATATTCTCGTTGTAATTATTTTCACATTACTTAACTAATACTTATTTATTATAATTAATTCGATTTTATTTTCTTTGATGCGCAGCTCTTTCTTCATGATACGTAAACTCTCTTCCGTCTTGGTTTAACCCCTATTCGCGCAGTAACACCATCGACTGTGTAACACGATATAATACGGAAACATTTATACACAGTCGCCGAGAGCTGAATAGTTGCCGGCGGCGTGGCCGCCGTTTATGCGAAGCCGGTCCTCTTCGAGAAGAGTACGGGGCGCGTGTCGGGAGATGGAAAGGGGTGGTTCCGGTGGTTGTGTCACGGGATGCGTGGGGGAAGTTTCTGCGAATGCGGCAGAAACTCTCGCGGATTTTCCGTTTGTTATTTTAATTAGAGCCTTCGGGGCCTGCTCTTAACGAGTGCTTGGCTCTCGTCCGCGTTTATTGTATCCTTCTGAAATGACGGTTGTGTCATATCGTCAGACTCGTGTTGGTGGCATCATGAAAATGCACATTCAGCCTGTTCCTCGTTTATTTATGTTCCCACGAAATAATCGCATGACACCTCTTTTACGGTCTCAATAAGATACATATGTCAACTAAATTCTATCTGTAATCGTAATCGTAATGATTACGATATAATTGTAATCATGATCGTAATTGATTGAATGTCAAATCAATGCCGTAAGTGACTTTTTTATATTTATCGAGAGAATTACCACGCTAATATATTGCTAAACAACATGAGTAAAGAGTAAATAAATTACTTTCTTGCGAAATATTGATTCGTAAGTAAAAGTTAAAAAGAATTTATTTATTTGCGTATTTGCGAGCAAATATAAAAAAGCAAACATTAAGTAAGATATGAAGCATTCCATGCTAAATCGACCAGGGTTTGACCTCAACCTCTCGGATTTGGTCGGCGATTTTTTATGTTATTGTTCCACCTCTAAGATGCACTCTGAATTTTTTTTAGATTTTTTTTTAAACAATTGATTTAGTTATAATTTTTTTAACCGACACATCGATGGCCACAATTTAAAAATCTGAAAAAATTCTCAAAAATTCTGTGTCAGATATCAAAATTTTTAAGCCTAGGCCCAAAGTGGGCCAGCGTTCTAATTTTTTCAAGCTTTTTTCGAGTTTTTTTCGAAAAAAATATTGAAAAAAATTAGAAGCAGACGTCAGTCCACTGCAGGCTGTTGCTTGAACATTTTTGTATATAACAGGATTTTTGAGAATTTTTTCAGATTTTTAAATTGTGGCCATCAATATGTCGATTTAAAAAATTATAACTAAATCAATTGTTTAAACAAAATCTAAAAAAAATTCAGAGTGCTTCTTAGAGGTGGAACAATAACATAAAAAATCGCCGACCAAATCCGAGAGGTCGAGGGTCAAACCCTGGTCGATTTGGCATGGAATGCCCCATATGCTTTTTATGTCAAAAAGAAAAAGATGTTCAGAAAAACGATGTCCAAAGAAATGTCTTATTAGATTTTTCGCAATACTTAGAAATAACTAACCGACCTCTTTTTCAGGTAAAGATATTTTTTTTTCTGTTGGTAGTCTTTCAAAACACCGTTAAAAAGAGTTTTAGCATCGTAAAAGTTTTCGCTAGCATCGGTTTTTTACTTGGTAGATAAAAAGAATATAGAAAAAGGGGATAGAGTGTAACCCTTTGTCGAGAATATTTTCCCGTTATGTAAAAAACTACCGAAGAACGGCGCGGGTATCATCGAGCACAATATTTTCCCAAAATTGGGTGGACACGTCGTAAAAGTCGTAAAAGTCGTAAAAGTCGTAAAACTGTAAAAATCCGTTACTCAAAAACTTGACCTTCAGTTTTTTGTATGTTGTCCCTGTTGACTCCGGTACTTCCTTGTACCGTTTATTGATGTTCTTTATAAAGAGACTTTTTTACGTTGATTTTGTCATGTATAAAATATATGTATACCTATATACATTTAAAAGAAAATAATTTTATCCGAAACTTTTGTATCATCACAGATATTATTTTATTTTAAATGTATATTTTTATTAAAAAAGATATATAAAAGTTTTTAAAATATAGCTATATGTATACGCAACGAGTTCTTAATATTCGTTCAACCATTTGAGTCTATATCGGGGCTAATATTGATATAATAGTGCGCGTGGAATATTTTGAAATTGGATATTTTAATTTGTAAATAGAGAATATATATTATTCTCATTACGTGGTATTGTGTAGTGTCGGCGTTGCACAGTAGAGTTCAGAGAAGCCGCTTTTAATAACCCGGATGCGGATGCTTCTACCCAGCTTCTACCAGCAGTGTCGTATTCGGATCTAAGGTTTGGGCTAACATAATCCTATGCGAGGTAATTCTGCTTCAGGTTCTCTAATCTCACCTATACACGATATCGCATATCCTATTACTTTTCACTTTTCCTTTACGCTACCACCATTTTATTTCAAGAGAAAAGCAAAGAGAGAAATCTAAAGAAAAGGGCTAGGTAAAACCTCTTAAAAGTAGCGTACCGATTATCGAAAACACTTCCATTTGACTTGAAATATTATACATATATTGAATGTATTTAAATAGAAAATATCATATATTGACATATAATATTGTGTTTGTATAAGTAGAAGAGAATACGCGCGCGTATTATGTATACATGTATATACAACTACGTATATCACGTACACATGTATATAGATATACAATAAAAGCTATTGATAGATATATGTATTCATAGGTATTATTTTACTTTTGTTTTATATTAATGGATTTCGAGTCAAGTCTTTTGTAATAAAAATTGAAACAAATTTACGATACATTTTTAGTAATAATAAATATTAGATACTTTTATAGTAAGGAGGTAAACCTCTTAAATAAAAAAAACTTCGTCCATTTCAGACCATCGGGCCCAGTTATAAATTATATATAATTTTATAGATACTAATGGTAGAGTGCTTAAGAAAAAATAATTTTAGATCCTCAGATCCCCGCCGGGAGAAATTCTGACCTTCTAATAATTTCATTTATTTATTAGATGGCTCATCATCGGAGCCAAGATGACAAATACATCATTGATATACTCAGAAGATATTTAGCATATATATCCTAGATACCGAATGATCGACGTAATATATAAAAGAATAAAAACAAAAACAAGAATTCTGGAAGTCATGTTCAACTATAAAATAAAAAATCATCAGTTTATTCAAAGCGTGAAAGCATTATAGATAACAAAATGAATACACCTTATACATTAATATATTAATGAAAGCCTAACATTGCCCGGTGGGCGTTTTAGCCATTGGCACCTATTTCAATCCTGACATGATGCCCTACAATATGTGTCATCTCTGGGCCCGAACGGCCTAGAAACCCTTACAAAAATGAGCGAAGTTCTATTAATATCATTTTAAATAAAAATACTTAAAATTACATAAAAATAATTTTACTAAAAAAATCCGTATTTTAATTAAAAAACAAAATTATTTACTCGCGCACCTAACAAATGTATGAAGTGCTTCGATTTCGAATAAATATCAATGAATATCAAATATATATAATTTAGATTTTATATGTTATATTTTAAACATGCGCACGTAGTACATACATATAACGTAATACATAGATATAACATAAACGTATTTTGAACGGAGCCATTTATATCCATTTTCAACTTATTAACTTATATAGTTAATTTGGAAACTTTTATTTTGCAATACACCGCCGTTATTTATAGCGATCAGAATCTGCACCATAAATCAATTAAAATGTATCATATAAATTATAAAATCCATTTTTCATATTAGACATTGCATACTCGTATAATATATGGTTTCCTCAACATATATTTTATTCGAATTAATCGATTAATTCGTTTAGATTATAGCTCGATCGCTATACTTGCCATTGTACACAATTTATCGATAAGTTATCGATAAAAACTATATTAGAATATTGAAGAAGCAGCTATCGGTAAGCCGGATATGATTAAAAATTTTGACATAATCGGTCATTGGTATAATTGGAGTTATATTGTTAGCAATCGTTATAGTAGTTTTAATGCTAATACCAATGCCATTCTTACCGACGTTCATGTCTGCGTGCAATGCGTGCATCATGGAATCATGGACCTAGGTATTATATTCTTTATTAGGTCCATGGCGTGCACGATTCTTGCGCTAGTCATTTTAATATATCTAGGGGTGCATTTCACTTAACGCCCGCAACGCTCATGATCATCATTTGTCCTTGTTTAACATTTGATAACAAGGATGAAATAATTCTAAGAGCGTTGCGAGCGTCAAGTGAAATAACGTACCCGTAGAAGTCGTGAAGACCATTCATTCTCTCTTGTTCGTGTACAAACGAAAGAGAATAACGCCCACGCGAGCGAGAGAACAACGGTACCACAATAGAATGCCTCCTTTCCTACGTGTACCTCTACCCCCATCTCTTATTCCTCAAATAATGGCAAACGCTCGGTCTAGAATGTAGGGCCCATATTCTCAACTGTCTTTTATCGATAACAGCACTACACGTTTTTATCTGAGATGCTATATAGTTCATGTTACATATACTATAGCATTTCAGAAATAAAAGAGCGCTTGTACATATATATTAATAATAAAAGATAAAAGAGAGTTGAGAATATGGGCCTAATCCGTTACCTTAATAAATATGTTAATTCATTACTCACGACACCGATGCGCAACAGCGGAATTATATCTGCCACGTAGCTACGTTGATTCTGTAACAAACAAATATAAAACTTATATTAAAACAGTGTTAAAAAAATCCAATGTTTTAAAACATAATTCTTATGCGCATTGAATGTTTTATTCACTATTCAATTAGGTATTTATTTAAATGATTATATATTTTCAGAAAATGATCTTTACAAGAATCAATTTTTATAAAATTACTAAATTACTCCTTTTCTTCTAACTTACTATTATTTCTAAATCATGGTAAAACAAATAGGCTTAAGAACAAACAAACAAAAATTACTCTTATACACAAAATAAATAATATTTACCGCAAAGTTGTTCCGCTGACGCCCGATGCCTCTCTCTCCCAAGCCTCCTCCTCCTCTCAGGCTGTCCTCTCGAGTTGTCAGCTCCCTCGATGCGACACTTTTCGCGTCGTTATTTTCTGAAACATATAAATAAATGATTTGATATTAATCAATTATTTATTACGCATCAAACTCCTTATTTATCATTCAATTAGACATTTATTTAAGTAAGTATAGCTTTAAAAAAAAAAAATTATTACAAAAATAAACTTTTATAAAATTTCAAATTATTTCTTTTTTTCTAATTATTATTTCAAAATCATGATAAAATAAAACGACTCAAGTATAAGCAAAAAATAAAATTACTATTACACAAAATAAAAAAATAATATTTACCACAATGTTGTTTTGCTGGCGCCTGACGTCTCTTCTAGACCTCCTCCTCCTCTCAGGCTGTCCTCTCGGGTTGTCAGCTCCCTCGATGTCCGACACAACTTCACCGGCACCACGCGGATAACAATAATCGCGCGATATTTAATACCTCACTTCTGAAAACGTTACGTAAACGACCGAGTTTGTTCGTGGAAAAATCGCCCGCGATAACCGCGTTATCTCGACGCGTTCAGAACCGGACAACTGACTCGATTTGCCCGATTAAGGACTTTTCCCCGCGTGGCCAGTTGAATAGTGTTCGACAGAGAGAAGAGAGATCCTCGAAAAGTAGAAAGCGAGCTTTCTACAATGAGGATCATCTCTCCTCGCCACCGACACGTCATGGTAGCACCCTTCCACGCACAGTGAAGTCAATTATCTGGGCAGTTCTTGTTATGCAATCCTGGCACCTTGCCGCACAGGACCACGCACGAGACAGCCGTCACGTCTAAGAACGTGGAAATTGACGCAGTTATATGCTAATTATTAAAAACCGATATTTTACGCGACGATCCCGAAACGCGAATTAACGCCCGATTATATTATTTCCGCGATAGCCGCGTTATCTCGACGCGTTCAGAGCCGGACAACTGACTCGATTTGCCCGATTAAGGACTTAACCCCGCGTGGCCAGTTGAATAGTGTTCGACAGAGAGAAGAGAGATCCTCGAAAAGTAGAAAGTTTTCTACAATGAGGATCATCTCCCCTCGCCACCGACACGTCATGGTAGCACCCTTCCACGCACAGTGAAGTCAATTATCTGGGCAGTTCTTGTTATGCAATCCTGGCACCTTTCCGCACAGGACCACGCACGAGACAGCCGTCACGTCTGAGAACGTGGAAATTGACGCAGTTATATGCTAATTATTAAAATCGCGCGATCCGCTTCCGGATAATACGACAACTTCGAACGGCACTCCCGAAAATGTGACGATTTTAATTGTCATATTCGAAAATTCAACGATTTCGAGCGGCACTCCCGAAAATGCGACGCAACGAACCGTTTATACAATTGGCGGCGATTGTGTTTAGTTGCCCTGTTGTCCGGTAAAAACGGAATTACCTGTAAAAGATAAGATTACGCGTACGTTTAGGTCGGTACTCTACTTAGATAGGGATACGCGTAGTAAGTATACGCGAGAATAAAAATATGCGAGACTAATGCTACAGTTGAAAGCGGATGAAGTACGCGTCGCGTGTGATTAATTTCGAGAGTATCGTGCAAGGTATGGCAAAGCCGCACAATTATTATATTCTTGTGATTACTTTGTAATCAAGTTTAATTGTAATCAATATTTTGTTTGTTTTACGAAATATATGTGAGTGCCATGAAGAAATAGCAATGCGGAAAGAAAAGAAGAACCTAAGCCGAGGAAGTGAGCAGATGTAACAGATCGCAAGATGAGCATTTCATAATCAATTTTAATTAATTGTTACTGATGGAAATATCGTTTTTCGATCACTGTATAATATAATGGTGTATTGAATGTTTAATACGTTGTCTAATAAATAAAATATTTTAAATTATATTTTAAGATTTTTTTAAATATTTAATAAATTTTTTTGTTGCCTTTTGAAATATGGATAGGTCAGGATAGAGTAGTAATTTAATTCCTTGAATAATTATTATTATTCGTCGATTTATTGTATGTGCATACAAAGTTGCATAAAATAAAAAAAGCTATAAAATAGAGTTTATTATAATTGATATGATATATATTATTATTAAATTTGTTTGTTTATTGTATGTTTACATGCAACAGAACTTTATTAAGCGATAAAATAAATTACTTATTTTAGATATGCACAAATTACTTGATAAAAGAGTTTAATTTTAAAATGCAAAAATTGGAAAAAAATAGAAAATATTTTACAACCAGACCATGTTAAAATATGTCTTATATTTTGATAAATTGTTTCAAACTTAATAAAGATATTTTTACATTTTTTGTCAAGCTTTGTATGCACAGAGGATTACGAGATTTTTAGCAAATATAAAATTATTTAATTTCGAAATTAAGATAGGATATAATTGAGTGCACTTACCAGTGCGATGCAGTGCGACCAGTAATAGAGTTGTACTCGTATGCAACACTAATCTGTAAAATATAAATATATTTAAATAAATGTCTAAATTAATATTTTAAATTTCAATATTTTACAAAAATAATTATTACATGCATTTATATAACTTCTTATTCTTAATCTCTTTTCATAAATTCTTAATCTTTCGTAGTTTTCTGGCTTTTAATTAAATATTTATTTAAAAAATTACGTAACTCTCTACACAAAATCTTTTTATATAAAAACTTTAAAATAGAATTTTTAATTCTTGCGTATTTATAATTTAAATAATTATAACTTTTTAAATGGTGTAAAATATTACGTGTATGTTGAATTTTATAAATACTTTATTAAATATTTTTAGCATCTCAAATGTAAAAAAAATATATAATACATTTTATAAGCTATAATGTTACGTAATATTACTATAATTAGTGCGTGGAATACTCGTTGTAATCGTGTGATTCTCGCGAGGAAAACCGTTTAAATTCAGTAACTAATAAAATAAGTAACAAATTGCTCACCTCGTGGTTGCTTCGCCGTCGCTCGACGCCTCCCTGGGTCTCCTCCTCCTCTCTCCGCGGCCGCTCATTTATAGCGCTCGCTAGAACACAATTAACTATTATATGATTGCTGCGAATACGGCACTCCTAACGTCTCGACGTCAATCATTTGTACGACTCAAACTGTATTATTACATTCGGACGGAAAATCGATGCAGGAAATGCGTATGCGACAAATCGCCGCGGTGATTAGATTCGCACGTTATAAAGCAGATGAAGCGCGTACGGGATAAAGAAAGTTATAAGAATAAATGTTCGCGAAACGCGATATCCGGAAAATATGAACGTTGCTCTCTTGACTGTTCGCGCGACAGATTCGATCAAACGCATCTCGTGAAATATTTTAAGCAACGTACCGAGCGTCGAATCTACGTCACGCCAGTGTCAAATATATTAAGACACGATTAAATACGAGACAAATAGGTTCGTCCTGTATGCGCCGTGACGTCACGGCGACGAAAGATTCGAGAGTGACGCTGCCACCTTAACCATGATGCCGCGCGACGACGTTCGATTAAACGCATCTCGCGAAATACTCGTTTTACGAAGTCAGCGATGTACCGGTCGAATCTACGTCGTATGTGCGTCAAATACCGGTGGCACGATTAAGTTCAAGCTTATAATGATTGTGCTTACCGTTATCAAACGTGCCGTGACTAATAGGCCCGTCCTGTACCCGCGACGTTGACTTCGCGACGACGCGTCGCGACGCGGGATTAGAGAGTGACGTCACGATGCGCCATCTTTACCATGATCCCGCGCGATAGATTTCGGGCATTTCGGCCGAACGAACGCATCGCGAGAAATATCTTAAGCAATGTATCGATCGAGCTTCGAATCTACGTCGCGCGGGTGCCAAATACTAAGACACCATTGAATACGGAAGCTCATAATGATTGCGCTTACGGAGCTTAGCGATTATTATACGAGCCGCGACAAACAGATCCGTCCGTCCTGTATGCGCGAGCGTTGCCGGGGTTGCCGGCGACGAAAGATTCGCATTCGAGAGTGAGGTCGCGTCCCCCCGCGGCCCGCGCCAACTTCACAGTAACCGCCGCGCGACACGCCGCGAGTCAAATTGGCGCCTGATTACGAAATGATATTGACTGCTTAAAGATACAAAATTGAAAATAATAATTTGTATTTGCTATTATCATCATTTTCCATTCCTTATATCACTTCAATTCCTTTAAACAATTAAGTCAATAGAAAAATTGTTTCGAGAAACACATAGTTATCGATTCAATCAATTATGTTAAATTGTTACAAAGAATAAATACGTTGATGCAAATTTTGCTTACTAATTAATTAAATTACAAAATGAGTAGTGACGCCAGTCGTGCTGAAATCAATCCATCCCGTGTCTATCACGTTCCGTTAATAACGACGAAATATTCGAAGATGCAGTTTCATTAAATCTATAACATCTAACACCACAGAATGATATTTTATCGGCAGTGTCGGAAAACGAACGTATGTACGTGGCTATGTAGTGAGTCAGAAATCCATTGGGTAATGTCAATGGCGCTGGCGTATCGTAACCAAACCTAATCTAACTTAACCTCACTTAACCTTACTTTTGTAGTAAATAATCTGATAACTTGCTCCTTCCCAAAGGAGCAGAAACCAAAAAAAAAAAAAAATAAATAATCTGATACCGTCTTAGTACTTTTATAAAAGACTTCTCATAGTCATATATCTGAAATAATAAACAAATATGCTAATAAGAAAAAATGTGATGTGAATAATAAGTAAATTTTATGCATGCTTTGTCGCATGTGTTTAACTTGATTTTTTTTTTACTATTATTTGTATGACCAGTTCATGACATTATGAAAATAATAAACTTTGATATTTTCTTGTGGCGGCTTAAACGAGTCAGTAAAATTGCTATTAATAATGTCACTTGTTTTAACATGTCATCGAGTGCTCTACCTTATACCGCTTGTAATGACTATAGTACATCTTGTACAAATATTGCACAAGATTTGACCCTCGGCAATCAGCAGTCCACGTTAAATAATGTCATAGTTAAATATAGTTCAGGAATACAGAACAACTTTCTGTATATGTCTCATCCTCAAATTGCTTCCCATATAAATTTATATAATGGAAAGAAACACATTGGGTATAAACCTTATCGCAGTGGTCAGTATCATAACAGTATTAGACATCTTTCAAGTGCTGGCATCCAGTCTGTTGCTGAAACTCAACTTCCGATGCAATTTAATGGAATATTCAAAGCAATATCAGAGAGCGCACCTATTAAAGTCGCACAAGATTCATTACTGTTTGTGCATGATTATACAGGCTTGCCATGGTGGTCGGTCATTATACTTACCACTATTATGATGAGAACAACAGTGACGTTACCATTATCCTTCTATCAGGTAAATTTGTAAATATTTTCAAGTGTAATGAATGCTATTTTTAAGTCTTTTAATATATGCGTGCGTTTTTTATCGTGATATTTTTAGCTATACATATTTGCAAAATTGGAAAGTCTCAAGAATGAAATGGATGAGATAACTAAAGAGATGAAGAAAGAGATAAATTATGGAACACATAAATATAATTGGTCTAAAAAATATGCTACAGCCTTGTACAATATCTCTGTAGGTAATGTTTTTTCTTGTTTACTTTAAACTTCTGAATTGACGAGAGCAATCGACTAGAACATTTGATCTTTAAATATCTGTCATTTTTGTTACAGGTAAAGAAACAATGGAATAAATTAATTGTTCGGGAAAATTGCCATCCAGCTAAAGCTAGTCTATTGGTACTGGTACAAGTACCTTTGTGGATATCATTGTCAATGTCTATTAGAAATTTATGCTATATGTTACCTAAACAGGATGCCAGTATGTACTACAAAAAGAATAAAATAATTATCTGAATAAAAAATAAGAATTGATACATTTCTAATGTATTTTTTCTATCAGGTGCTTATACCACTTATCAGGAGTTTACAACTGACGGATTTCTTTGGATATCTAATTTAACTGTAGCAGATCCTTTTGTACTTCCTATAGCAATGGGATTATTTAATTTAGCCATTATAGAAGTAAGTTTTTAATATAATTTCTGAATTGATTTACGAATATTATGGACAAATCTGACAAATTAATTATATTCTAGATCTTTATATCACATTCTAATTTTATAATCTTTTTATAACAGATAACTTGTATGAGTAGGGTAAAAGAGTCGACGAAATGGCAGAGATACTTGACCAATTTTTTCAGAGTTGTTACAATTGGTATGATCCCCATTGCTATGTCTGTACCATCGGTAAGTTTCAAAAAATATTTTTATAAACTAATTTTTTATAAGAATAATTTTACGTAAGAAATAATTTAAAATACTTTTTTTTTTTACAGTGTTTGAGCTTGTATTGGGCAACTAGTAGTGCATTTGGTCTTTTCCAAAATCTAATCTTGTTGTCTCCGAAGTTACGTCGTTTTGCAAAAGTGCCTATAACTACATCCGAGTCACTACATCCATACTTGGGGTTACGCAACAAAATAGCAGCTAAATGTCGTTTCGAAAGGAAAGTGGAAATCCCACCAAAGATATAATATGTTTCGTTAATCACTTATACAAATAAATCACAAGGCCTGTAAGTTATTAATCCTATAAGTTAGAATAAAACAAATATACCTATTTTCTTTAATTCTAACTTATTGCACTAGTTCAGAAGTGCAGCGAAAACGAACAGACTTATATGCATAAGTTTCTTTCTTGTTTGTAAACTCACATCTTGGATATACGTTCCGATATCTCATATCACTTGTCTAAACAGCTTGTATATGTAATTGAGGACAAATATAGTCTTTTTTGAGATTATAAATTTGGTTATAAATTTCGATATATTTGAATAAGGAACACGCATACATATTTAAGAAATGGTCTTTTCTTTTAAGAAAATATTAATAAATAAATTTATAAAGAATTAAAATAATATCTAATATATATTTAAGACATTTAGGTTATTGTAAAATAAAATTTTGTACGAATAATAAACAATTGTGTTAACAATTATAAATTTTTGTAGGATATGTATGACGTTTATAAATGTTTTTTAAAATTCTATTTACATATTTGAACATATTTGTCACAATTTAAAAAAAAAAATTTAAATAAAATTTGGAGATAAAAAGTAAATTAAAGAATAGTTTCATAAAGAAACAGGATGTAACAAAATCGTTGTCATTATGTGCATTATTAGTACATTATCGAAGAAATAATTATTTGCAATAATTTCCCACAAATTTCCAACAAAATTATACTTTTATCTAATGAAATGCACGAAGGCTTTTATCTGTAGATACAAGCCGCAAAAATATATACGCATGATAGTAAAAAGATGAAATCTACAAAATTGAAAAAAAGATTTGTAAAACAACTCAAGTTTTTTTTATGTATCTTAACCATTATATGGAAAGTTTACGAATTGTATTTTATTATATTATATATAATTGCTTGAAACAATATTCTATAATAAATACTCGGGCATTTTTTGTAATAATATGTAATAAAGCAAATAAAATTTTATTGCGACAGCAGGTGCACTTTTCTTCTTTAGATATTGCCGTTGATGCGCTTGAGAAATGTTGATTTGCGTAACCTTTACCCTTTTGCATGAACTAAAGATAATGAGAATACAAGAAACGTAATAGGAAAGATGTATCTGCGTAATAGCAATGTAACATTTCCTTAATCGTATTTATCGAAGATTTTATATATAAGGTCGATTTCTTGGCGAAGCAAAGCCATTAAGTTGAGTCAAACGACGATTAACGCGATCAAAGAATGATCTTCATTTTCAAGATGAAGTCTCACGCAGTTTTGTTTTGCCTGATACTGTGTACAGCACCATTTGTATTGACACAATCAGATGTGAGTATATATTATAATTATAACAAATATTAAATGTGTAGAAAGTCTAGAAAGATTAATGTCGGTCAAAGTCAATCGCTCATACGAATGAGAGCGAAGCAAAGCAATTGAGTTCCTTTTAGCGAAAGTTAAAAACGTTTGATTTAATTAAAGTAAGTTATATTTTGCATTTTGTATTTGTTTGAATTTTTTGATATTATAGTAAAGTACTTTCTCGCTCCCCCCCATTTCCAAATAATACGCTTATAAATGTCTTTTTCTATCGTTAATTGTGATAAATATCAATAATCCATAATTAATTACGTAATCATGCATAAAATTGTTAAACATGGTTCGTAGTGTAGATTTTATTTATATACACTACAAAATAATAGATTATATAATAGATTACACAATAATAAGTAAAGATAAATGTATAGTTAAGCTGTGATTATGTTATTTAATAACAAAAAATTTCTTCCATTTCCATAGTTTTTGGTACCAGCTTTTTATAGAATAAAATATTTCACCTTTGTTCATATTCTCTCTTCTTTATCGTAGCTAATTGTAAGAGATGAATATAAATGATTTGTTTATTTACAGGCGACTGTATTGCCTTATCCGAACGATTGCAGCAAGTTTCAACAATGCGATGCGAGTGGTTGCTTCGTGATGAGCTGTGGTAGAGGAACAGAATTTAATCCGGCTATAGGTACTTGTGACTATCCTTTGAGAGACCGTACAGGATGTGGTAATCGTGGTTGAGAATTTTAGTTTACGAGAGAGGAGCTATTGCAAAGACGCAAAAATGTTTTGAAAAATTCCATTCCTGGTTTGTACAGATACTTGTGTGTTATGACATTGTTGTACAAATAAAATTATAATATTAATTTAAATTATGCTTGTTCTATTTATTATTGAAACTCCATGCCATTAGTGTAATAACCAATTCCTCTGTTGTTAATTAAAAAATAACTTCTAATGTACATACATTTTTTCGGTACCTTTTAAGTGCATACGTAGGTCTGTCACGTTCGACGCTATTTTTCGCTACCTTAAAGTACATTTTAAAAAATTGACGATTTTATAGTTATTTTGATAAACATCGTTTATTAAATTTAATATCTTCTGGCAGGCTTGCAATTTTACAATTATGAGCAGATATCACTTTGGCTTGGACGTAGACCCACGTATGCACTACGTAAGGGATAAGATATTACAAGTAGCACAACTAAAAATAAAAACGTTATTAAGTTATTTTCCAGTTATTTTCGCACGTAGATTGACATTGATTGAGTCGCCGAACTGCAGAAATGTAATTTGGCGAGCATCGAAAGTAGTTATGCGATATCTATCGTCATCGATCGTCACTTATAATAGCAAACACACCGATGCGATGCAAGATGCAAGGAACAGTGATAGGCGACTATCAAAGAGACATCCTGACGCGTGGACGCGAAAAGAGTATCACACGCGAGAGTGACTTTCGTTTATGCATCCTAAACAGATGATCGATTTTTTACAGGTAAATTCATCCTATGTTTCGTCTATATTTCTACAATATATGGCATACGTCAGGAAGAACGCATGTTTCCGCGGTGACGATTGACATCGGAGAAACTCAAATCCCACCAAACTATGATGCGACTTTCAATAAATATCACAATCTTTCGATCACGTTCTTGTAAGCGCCTAAATATTTTCAGAAATATGATGTTGTTTCATTTGCTGATCTCATTGCTTTTGTTACATTGTTATCACTTTTCGCTGCAACCAAGAGAGTAAAGAGTGAAGTTCGTGAAATTCATTAAAATGATTTTATATTGTATCATGGAAATGTGAAAACAAATGTATCTAGTTTTAAAAATATGAGTTGTCTTATTTTATTATTTTGTTAAGCTATAGTTTTATTACTGTTTTTATTACTGTCTAATACTTAATTAAAAAAAAAAACATTATTTAATAGATTTTTGTGTATTATTTTTTTGCACAGGATGGCAATTTTTACACGGTGTCGGCATACCTGGAAGGTATATAATATATATAATATATATATATATTATAAGATATATAATGTGTAGCGGCGGTAAATGTAAACTGGAGACGTGTCAGCTCATTTACGTTTTCGATTCAGTTACCTCCCACTTGCACCCACCGACGCGGGTCCGTATTAGCTGCGACTTTAAAGCCTGATCTACAATGTGTTCTTTGCTTTCTGTTTTCTGCTCTTACCTTTTTGCGACTCTGATGTTTTTTGTTCTCAGTCACCCAAGATAAAAATTGACGAACTTCAGAAGAGACAAGAAACATCACGTTACGCGACGGAATTGCGAAATACGAGATAGTCGCAAAGAAGTAAGAACAGAAAACAGGAAGCAAAGAACACATTGTAGATCAGGCTTAAGTTTCCGCGAAAACTGTAAAACATGATGTTGAGGTCATCAATATATTGTAAATGTATTTCCTCTCCGTGACGAGATTCTAAAAGGGAGCTCAATCGAATGAAATAACTATCTTATCCATTTGTCATTCCATGTTATCTGTGTCTCTCGTGTCGGTCCTTTTATAAAGCCGGCGTGCATTAATTATCAACGAGCAGAAGTTTGCTCGCTCTCATCGTTAATTAGCAAACAGTTCTGTTTGCAGTTGTTCGTTTGTTGCGTCGTCTCTCATGGTTGTCGGCATCCTTTTTTTCTATTTTATGTATGTGTGCGTGAGCACACATCATGCCGAGAGAACTCTTTTCTCCTCTCTCTGTTTCATTATCTTTTGAGATGATCCTCGACCTTTCTAAGTGATAACATTCCGATTTCCATGAATCAGAGCACTTGTTTCCTCGAGTATATTGATATCTGTTTCTGGTTAAGACGGTGTTGATCAGTATTCAACCTCGGCGAATTTAGAAAGAGACGAGGATCAGTATAGTACGATGCTCGGTGTATCGTGGAAGTATCGAAAATGACGCCGTGTTTTAGTTATTTCTACATCGCTTTCTACCTTATTTATGTACCTGTTTTTTCTTCCGCGGTATGTGGTGGGATTGTTTGCTTGCGAGAGTGACTTTTAGTGATACATGTAGCTATTTTAATTTTTTTTTTTGTTTTTGTTTAGAAAGTTTAGAATCATATTTTAAATGTGGACTGGGCTGGCTAAAATTCGAATAAAAAGAATTTGGCGTTACCAAAAGTATCAATGTTTATTATATGTATATAATAATGTGTACGAGAAAATTTGAATTTGCAAAATGCAAGAGTTTTATTATTTTTCCCAAGATCGATAGAGCGAGAAAACTTACTTTAATTTCAAATTGATTGTTTGATAAAAATAAAAATATATACTTTATTTCTTTATCAATGTAATAATAATATATATAGTATATATAATAGCGTGCTGTTTTGAGCCCAGAACCTAATGAATTGGGTTAAAAAATATTTGCATTGATTGATCGCCTCTGTTATATAACGACATATCTGAAACGTTAATGTAAATTTACCAAGTACCAGATGTGACAATCAGACTCCAGAAATGTGTAATTTATTAGACGGAGACTGAAAATGTGTGTCATCAATGTATTTTCTTTTAACTTGAACTTACTACATGTCACATATAATAATATTGAGAATAATAATATTGATATGACCATTTAATTTATTTTTATATTTATCTAAATTATTCCGAGGCACATTTTTCTGTGATGTAAAACATTATAATTTTTTTTTGCATACGCACACGATGTACAATAATTAACTGTCCTTTTAAATAATATTAATTTGAATATTTATTAATTAAATTACTAAAACTTTTAAAAATTATGTTTAAATCTTTTTCTACCGTAAAGTATAACGTAATTTGAAATAAATAATTATATATCCCCGTGCATATCGATATAAACGGAAATAATATAATTATAAACGAAGGTGTGATATTTAAATCACATATGCTAATTTATATTGAGTGCTCAAATCTTAATTTTTGAAATAAAATACATGTGATTATCAACAAAAATTAAGGAATAAAGCAATTATTCAAGAAATTGTCAAACATAATTTATTGCATTTATTGTAATCAAATAAAAGAAATATATCTATTTATATTATTATTAATTTCAAAGTATATAAATATTTTACTCACGCTAATAAAATAAGAAAATTTGACATAAACATTGATTTGTTCTGTATATTAATTTCAACAATAAAAGTTAAGACCATGTTTGATGTTTTTCTATTGATTTCTATTATCATTGCAGATCTATGATCCAAGATTGACAACTACGAAACCGCCAGAGCGTCGTGAATCGGTGCTTCCTTGGCATTCGACTGACAACGAGAAGGAACCGCGTGTTCAAACAACATCTCCTACTTCAAAATGGTATCAATCACAAGACGATATTACACCCAAATCTGGCATAAAAAATTGGAGCCCTTGGCGAAAGGCTTCGGATAGCGAAATTGAACAGAGAACACAAATTGGCATTCCTCAGCAAGTTTCTGAACAAATTCCTGAAAAAATCCCAGAACAACAGCGCAATTTCAAATTCGATAAGTTGGAGCAACAAGAAAGTCTGAAATTTCCTTTTGAATATGGAGATTTGACAGAGTCTGATAAAAATTACGGACATTTTAAGGATGAATCAAAATATGGAACTCGCGGTCGGCCTCAAAATGAGATCGATTTTGAGCATAAGCATCCATCGAGAAACGACGAGACCAAAGAAACGCACGAGGATTTGTACGAAGGTGTAGCTATTGACAGCACGGTAATTTTTTTTCTATGTTTCTAAGCAGAATTTTTTTATAATCAAGATTACATAATATAATAATTCCATTCAATATATCTTTATTGACACACATAAGATGGTTTCATATTATATATTATATATGATCTCAAAGTTCTAAATAAAAGAAAAAATTTATATGATCAAATTCTAGAAAAAAACTTGAAAAACATCTGAAAGTTCTTTAAATTTATTTCAATCTTGACTTAATAACATTTATTAGATGTTTGCGTTATATTGATATTGGCTTTGTCTTTTTACATAGAAACCACGAAAGGAAAATTTACTTCTTTCACAAAAATCACAGCACAAAGTGGCTCGATATAATTCTCGATTGGATGTTCAGTGTCCCGATGACAATTCTACAGGGCAATTTGTTTATCCACCAGATTGCAAATTTTTCGTCAATTGTTGGAAGGGTCGTGCATTTCTCCAACCATGCGCTCCAGGCACTTACTTTAATCCTGATACTCTGGAATGCGATTTTCCGCATAAAGTAAAATGCTACGAAGACAAATCCGTGTATTTCAGGGAGCCAGATTCTGATTTCCAAATTAATCAAAAATTACAAAAATTACAAGTGCGTTTTTTGAAAATGTATCATTATTTATCATAAATCGAAATTTAATTTTGTCTTTCACTCTACTTTATCTATTTATTTGGTATTTGATACAGGAACCAAAATGTCCACCTTATTTGATCGGTTTATTACCACATGATGGAGATTGCACAAAATTTTTACAATGCGCGCACGGTGCAACTTATATTATGAATTGCGGTCCTGGAACGGTTTTCAACCCTGCTATTGGTGTGTGCGATTGGCCGCATAATGTAAAAGGTTGCGAAGGTAGCATTAAGTGATTACTTACTAGAAGAAATAACTCGTTTTTTTTATCGTGTAATAAACATTTTTTATTTAAATCTGTTTTATTATACAGATATTTTTAAATCTGATGAAAAAATTCCACTTACACCTCCAAATGTAAAATCTGAACACGACAAAGCGCAATATATTGAAGTTAAAAAAATTACGTGTCCTGTGGATTTCACCGGACTATTGCCCCATCCGGAGACATGCAAAAAGTTCCTTCAATGTGCAAACGGTGCTACTTATGTGATGGATTGTGGTCCTGGAACAGCTTTTAATCCTATTACAACGGTCTGTGATTGGCCATATAACGTACCCAATTGTAAAACAGAAACAGGTGATTGTAACAAATAGTGCAAACTGTTAATTTTAGTAATTTAGCATTTTAAAGTAAGCCATAATAATAAGAAATTAATTAAGTGCGATATATTTGTAGATGTATTGGCAAAGCATATCTTGACAAATTCTATATATTACTCTAACGATCAATATTAAATATGAATCAAACAATCATTAATCAAATGATTATATATGTAAATTATTTTTTACGGAATTTATTATTAATTAATATTTTCTGAAATATTCTAAAAATAATTGTAATAGATATATTTATAAATTTATAATTTTCTGATTTAATAGATAAATCTGATGACAAAGTATACAGGACAGAGGATAGTACTTGGGTTCCATTTGCTGGATTTCGAGGTACTACATCACAGTCAAATCCAAGTCGCTATAATCATACGTCTAGCTTCCGTGGCCATTTTCCTCGATCGGAATATAACACGACAATGAGTCCAACATTGAGATCAACCTGGAGACCATTTGCAACATCTTCAAGCTCACCTTGGATACCAACGTGGACAACAATGGCACCGAGGCCATTTTATAATCGTTCTGAGCACAATGTTAATTATCATAATAGTGACGGCCATGTATATGGAGAAAACCGATATCAAGATTATGGACCATATCGTCCAGAATGGAAACCAAGTAGTGGAAATTTGAGACAATCCTCTGATAGTAATTATGAATTTCAAAATCATTCGGATAGGCAATGGGCGGAAAACCATAGAACTGATCCAAATGCACAACGAATTTATCATTCTGTACGTCCAGAAGGATCGTGGTACAAGTATGGAAATCAAGATCATCGTTATGATCATGGATACTATCCTCCCGGTTATCATCATCATCATCATCATCATCATCATTATCATAATTATGGACCTATGTCAAATCCACCAGTAAATTCAACTTGGAACTTAGATAGCTCTACTGCTACTACTAGCGATCGAAGATACGATCAAGGATACCGAGGATATACTCCAAATGCAGGTGATAGTCATTGGCCTTCTCATCACGACCACCATCACGATTCCGGCCATTACGATCATCATTATTCCGAACATGCTGCATCGAGCGAAACAGATCAAAGATTTCAATCATATCTTCCTCCTAGAGGATACAATGAAGACAGTAATCAGTTTCTAAATAAACATAACGAAACAAAGTTTTTTGGCGTTGCTAAAGGTGATTTGCCAACTACTCAAAGGACCGATCATGATTTGTCCCCAAATAGGCAAGATTATAGTAGGACGAATCCAAGATTTTATCATCCCAGTTTCAATCGTACTTTTCCACCCGCTGGAAATGTTTTGCTAAACAGTGGCAATAAATTTGCTGAAGATTGGAATCAGAATGAATCGCGACAAGATAGATTTTCTCCTGCTTGGGCAGGACAAGAAAATACCGCTTGGAATCAGCCAAATAGATCTTCTAGTTTTAAACCGAGTACATGGTATAATCAGCAAAATCAACAAGTACAGCCGGAAATTCAGACACGTCCGTGGGATCAAGGTAAATAAAATATTAATTTATATATATTAATAAAATAAATATACTATATATATAGTATATTTATTAAAATATAAAGAAGTCTGTAGTAATTAGTATACACAAAGTAAGTTAATAATACAATTTAAAGTAATATGCTGTTGCCAAATTTATTGACAAATATTTGCACGTTGCATGAATTAACTTTGTGAATTGTGTGTACACAAGTTTTATTATATCAACATGATATCATTGAAACAATGCAAGTATATACATATAAATAACGGTGCTTCTTAACAGTTATGATGCATGAAATATAATGAGATATGCATGGAAATTATGTTGCATGATGTATTCTATAAATTAATAGTGAAAAATTGAAAATTTATACAATAAGATAAGTAAATAAATAAATTATATGTTTAAATATAATAAAATATTTACATCGGAGAGATGGTCAATCTATGGTGCACGCGCCAAAAGTGGCGATTATTATATTGTGTGAACTTCGATGATAATAATAAAAGAAGTAAACCTACTCATGCAAAAGTATTAATCAAAAACCAATCTGTAGAAAAAAATCTATAACAGGATTTTACGTAGCTTATTATCAGATAAAGAGTATTTTTGACATAAAATTTTTTGTATACCTAGATATGAATGAGAAAGTTTAATGTTTCGTAGGCATGGCTAGTCAAGACGATAAACTACGACGGCAATTCGGAAATAATATATATCAGCAAAGCACGGTTGATAGAAAGACAGATGCAAAAATGGCAGAGTGGGCGTCAAAAACAAATGTCTTGTTAAATTTAAAGAATCAAGTAAACTTAGGTTCGTAGGTGAATTTATGATCTTTAAATTATATATTTGTTTATTTACTTGAGAGTAAATACATACCACAAATGCAAATTTCTATATAGATGATATATAAAAAATATTCAAATAATTTATATATTATTCTCATAAAATATTAAAAGAGTTACGTTCATAACGTTTTATAATTTGTCGCAGAATCTGAGAATACAACTCAATATCCGAGAACAAACTTTTATCCAAATGGAATATATATTAATGCAAATGGCTTGAAAGGTCATTACATCACGAAAGAAATTGAGGATAATCAAGGACATTCGAAGAGCCAGCAATCACATAGTACTCAAAAACCTATGAATTGGAATGATAGTATATCTTACTTATTACTTTATTAATATATATCTTATTTGATCGTCACAATTTATTCTTCCATGAAGCTTAATATTAATTTATATTACCTGCTGATTTTCCTTTTAACGATCAATTATCTTTAACTTATTAACACTATATTAGTTATTAATTTGAGTTTACAAATTTTCTATATACATATATTATAAAATCTCTCTCTCTCTCTCTCTCATTTAAATTTTGATTATTTTGACAGAAACTGGCAGTTTGGTAGTTACTTATCATTAATATAATATGCATTAGAGATCGTTATGTACTAATTATCTGCTAGAAATTGTATTATTATTTTATTGATTGTGTGCGGTTAGGCTTAAGCTTAATAATTTAGTCAAAAGTGACGATAATTGTACGCTTGAATTTCACAGCAATTTACATCTAAACATTTAGCTAAAGCTGTTTTTTTTTTAACAGATAAAAATAATTATACACCGTTTTTTACGACGCTGATGACGACAACAGAAAAAATCCCAAACAAACAACCCGAGTTGTCAAGAAGAGGACGGGAGTTTGGAAACACTATGACAGAAAAAGAGTTGCCTAGTTCTGGTAACATAAGCGATTCCAACTTATCTAGTGATTTAATTGAACGTGAAGATAATCATTGGAACGGTAGCGATACGGAGATAAGTAATGAAGATTTGAGACCTCCGAATATTATAGAACCCGAAATAAATGATTACGACATAGATGTATTGGATGACAAAAATGTTTGGAAGCCTAGGCTGGTTTTCGAAAATAAGACTGAGACGACGACGATTTCGTCTGTCGTTATGAGAATCGGTCCAAAAAATACCGATCTCGAACTTTTTAATATCGAAACAGCTCCGTTTCAAGAAAGTAAGTTGATGATTTAATTTGATACAAATTTATATGTTTTTATCTATGCAATAAGTACTCGCGTGCGCGCGTAAAAGATAAATAATATAGGTAAGTTATTCTTCAATGATTTTTTTTTATAGCTTTCTCGTAATTGCTTTCTTGTGCATTGTTATGCTGCTTAAAGTATCATGCAATAATAAAATAAACTTTTTAGTTTAAATTAAGCTTTTGCAAGGGATCTGACGAGGTATTATCATTTTTTGTCGCATAGAATAGTATTGCAGTGTTAGATTTATGAACCTAGAATTAAAATCAATAATATAAACCGACTTAAATTTTTTTATTTACAAATTATTATTTATTGAACGTTTCAAATTACTTATAATACGTATTTCATACTAAATATTCTTATTTTATACAATAATTTTATATAGATATGCAATATTAAAAAATTTAAATACAACTATCCTATTTTTACTATTATATACTATTTATGCATTATATTATTATATTTATATATTATACATTACATTTATTTATACACAAGTTGGTTAGCTATAAACTTAGATTTATTCCTTTGCATGTATTTCTTTCTTATGCTTTTGCATGACTTTAATTAACTTTGTGGAAACATTAATGTATAAAACTATAATTGTGTAAATATATGTCAAATATATACATGGCACCAACAACATAGCAATATAAATTATTATATATTACATTGTTTAAATAAAATGATAGCCAAATAAAATAAGTAAAACAAATAATTTATTTAATTTTATTCTAGAAGAACCTCCATTCCCAATTTATTACGTGCACCCAGTACATCCATTGATTCATTCGGAAAAGTCTGTTCGATTAACGCCTATATCTGGTCAGGTGAGAACATTTATGTAAAGATAAATTGAAAAAATTTAATCTTAATTATATATAATAAAAAGTAATATTTTATTTAATATATTATTAATAGACTATTCGTTTGAGAGGCGGTTCTGGGCCTAATAATGGTTATGTTGAGGTGCAAGGTGTGCTACCCGGTTGGGGCATTGTATGCGATTCCAGAAATAGTTGGACTTTAAAGGAAGCTCATATTTTATGTAGACAACTCGGGTATATCAGGTATAGAAAATGAAAAATTATTATAGCTTAAAAATTGTGTTGGAATTGTTTTGTAAAGTATTTATATTATTATATTTACACATTTTAGCTATGCACATGTGTGTAGATATTTTCAATATCATAAAACGACTGTAAAAACAATTAACGATACAATATCTGTATATATATATTTTTTAATGGATTTCTTACCTAAATATGTATATACATATAATTATTTTTTTATATCATACTAATTTTTCTGATAGTTCTGATTTCTCTGATAATTCAACTTTATTTATTAAATATCCGTATAATAACGGAAAACTCAATAACGGGAAAATGTATTATTGTACGGATTATTTTGTTTATTATAGAGGCGCAGAAATGGCTTGGCAAGGCAGAAACAATCGCAATGAGATGCCAACTTGGATTGCTGCAAACACTGTAACATGCTTCGGCAATGAAACCAGATTTCAGTCGTGCAAGTAAGACATAAGTTATCAAAGATTTAAAAATATTCCTTTTATTAAATAAAGATGATCAGGTAATAAAAATCTGGATTTTTTATACACACATAATAATAATAATACTATAGTATAAAATGTTGGTAATTATTACTTTTTCCTTTTTTTTCGTCTCTTAAGTTTATAGCCATCTTTTGTTCACAATGTTTTTTATACGAAGCAAATTGTAGCAAAGATCATTACGCTAAAATGTACCGTGAATGATAATAATTTAGATTCACACATAATCAAGAGTGTCGCGTGGATAGAGATGCGATTGGTGTGCGATGTACTCCCAATCGAATCGCACATTGTCACAAGGATGAAGTACCTTATAATGGACAGTGCTATCATTTAGCTGGTCCAGATAACGGATTTAATCATGCTGAAGCATTGGAACACTGCAAACGAAGGAATGCACGCCTCATCGACATCACTAGCCAGGCGGAAAATAACTTCATTTCGGAGTGGTTGTTGCAATCGTATCCGGAAGTTAGCTCGATTATGACTTCCGGCTTTGGTTTCGCCAGCATGAGTCGCACCTTGTGGCTCTGGGCGGAGTCTGCTCATGCCAAATTCAAGTATGATTCTCAGAATATTATAGCTTCTATTTAATTTGTTTAATATTTTCTGTTATTGTTAATTTTTAGATATATCTTTGCATCTTTAGCTATTTAATAAGATAAATTACTGATCTGCTTTTCTCTTTTTATCAATTAAGCCAATTATAACTTCTTTGAGTTAACGCGCATTTATTTGTTTCTGATTGTTAAAAGTAAATTAATTCAAAAGAATTATTTTCTCATATCTTTGAATTTTTCGTTAAATATTTTGTTAGATTTACAAAATGGTGGCCTGGCTGGATGAACGATACGGAACAACCACCATGGGTGGGTTCTCGTCCTCTTTGCATCGTGATGAAACGAAAATTTTCGTGCCACGAACGACCCGAATCGACCTGTGACACAGATTATTTCTTCTGGGACACTGAAGATTGCGCAACTACTTCGAAAGGGCATTCTTTTATTTGCAAGAGACCTTATGATGATATTGGTATTATTAAAGAATTATTGAATAAATATAATGTATACATATAACATAAATATATTACTTATTCATATTTGCCTGCCTAGGTTGCGTTTACGGAAAAGGAAATCAATACACTGGCAAAGCCAATGTAACAATATCAGGAAATGAATGTCTTCCGTGGGCCGATGAAAGAATCGCACATCACTTACGTATAAATGTAGGTACTTTTCTATGTATATGTGTATTATATGTATATCTAAAGAAATATGCTGTTGATTAAATCAAAGTCCAACTTAATTTCTATCATCGTAGGTTATTAATAAAGAAATTCGAGATCGACTGGAAACGCATAACTATTGCAGAAATCCTAATCCGATAAAGGAATCGAGGCCGTGGTGCTTCACAGAAACTGGAAAGCGTGAATATTGCGATATTCCTGCCTGTGGAAATATTGGTATAGATTTGATATGATTTCGTTTTACTAACCGAAACTTTTTAGTTGAATTATGAAGAAAGTGATGGCATTTGGCAAAATAAAGATTGTGTGTAATATACATTATGTTTACGATTAATTATTTTCTTTTTTAGATTCCAAACGGTCTATGTTGACTGGCCAATGCAAATCTAAACATTTTGAATGTACTCCAGGAGAGTGCATTCCCTCTCCATGGGTTTGCGATGGAGAGGAGGTGAGATATAAACGTTTATACAATATACACAAAATTTGACATAAAGCAGATCGATATAGCATGTAACAGATGCCAATTATTTACGAAAATTTAAAGACGAGAAACGTTTTATTTGCAAATTTTTAATTTGTAGAATATACATATATATGTATATCTTAAGTTAATAGAAATATTTGTAATAAATATATGTGTGCGTGTGAAGTTGTAAGCTAAAATATAATTTGTAATTCTTTATTTTTCTATTTTAAAGCGCATGTATGTGTGTGTATTGACAAAACGAATTATAACTTGAAGTGGTTACCAAAATTCTATGTTTTTAAAAAATCTTAGTTCTTTAATAACTTCATTATTGTGTTTATCGTTTATTTTACTCAAGTAACGACATTAGCAATACAGAGTAGATAACATAATTATTATAAAGTTTAATGTAATGTTATTTATTAGGATTGTACAAACGGAGCTGACGAAAGAAAATGTATAATGGATTTGAATCTCTTTGAAAAATCTGCAAAACATAAACTTGAGGGCTACGATATGGAGAAATGGTTGAACACACCTTTAAAAACCTGTGCTTTAAGATGCAAAGAAGCTGATTTTACTTGTCGCTCATTTAACCATAAGTTTGTTAAAATTTTTTTATTTATTTTTATTTATTAAACTAAACGACAATATAACGACAACGAAATTGTCGTTGAGAGTTATAGAATAGGTCCACTGAGATCTACATCGATTATGGAGATTAATTATTATCTTTGTGTATGATGTACAATTAATAAAGTTACAAATACATCTGTACGTTCTGTTTTAGATCGGATGGCAACGTGTGTTTATTGAGTAACAGTAACATCGGGTTGACTGGTGCACTCAAACCAGACAAAGAATTCGATTATTACGAACTGAAGGAGAGAAGCGTGAACTGTGATGGCATGTATATTTGCGATAATCGCAAGTGTATAAATCAAACAAAAGTTTGCGATGGTAAAAACGACTGCAATGATCGCAGCGATGAGAGTATCTGCACGGCTGAAAATTTTGATTACGGTATCCGCTTAGCTGGCGCAAATAATAGTTATGAGGGTCGAATAGAAGTCAAAAGTAAGTACATATACTGTAAGAATATATAAAAAAAGGTGGACAAGTAAATAAAGTAGATAAAAATATATAATGTAGTATGTTTTAGAGTAATACAACAAGGTTTTTATTATTTTTATTGATTTTCTATTATTTTATTCTCTTTCTCTTTTCTTTCTATGTTTTATAATTTTAATCAATGTTTACATTGTCAAACAGTTCTAGGACATTGGGGACAGGTATGCGACGACGGCTTTGGTATAATCAATGCTGATGTTATTTGCAAAGAGCTTGGTTTTGATCTTGGAGCTTTAGAAGTTAGGCCGGGTGGATTTTATGGAAATCTCGATCCACCAACGAGATTTATGGTAGATCAGTTGAAGTGTCGCGGAAACGAGACCACACTACGGGAATGCGATTTTAACGGGTAAAAAGATTGAGATGTTATTTTTTATTTCTTGTAACATAATATTTCTTCTAACACTCGATCGCTACACGTTGCTTAAAATAACGATTCTACTAGAACTGGTAGAGCTAAATAAAGTATTTATATTTCCGTTTATAGATGGGGAGTTCATAATTGTCAACCGGAAGAGGCTGTTGGAGTCATCTGCAAGACCGCGGTCAACACTTGTCAGGAGGGTTACTGGAAATGCGACAATAGTCCAACTTGCATACCGACTCCTTTTATTTGCGACGAGGTGGTCGATTGTCCAGATCACTCCGATGAGAATCCGGAACATTGCGATGTAAGAGAGTTGAGAGAAAAGTAAAAATAGATAGACTTGTTTATTTTTATACGATTTCGGTTTCAGGCACCGTTTGAGTTGCGCTTGGTGAATGGCAGCAATCTTATGCAAGGAAGGGTAGAAGTGCGTCATCATGGCGTGTGGGGTACCGTGTGCGATGATGATTTCACAAATGCTACGGCAATAGTCATTTGCAGATCTTTGGGATACGGTGGTATTGCAACAGCTAAGAAAAATGGTTTCTTTGGGCCTGGCCAAGGACCAATATGGCTCGATGAAGTATTACATTTGTAGCTTACATTTAATTTTTTATTTCTTGCAAAAAGAGATTTGTTACTTGAACAATCTTTGTTGTAAAAGATCTTTTAATTTACATTTGAGTTATATTTATATTTGAGATTTTCCTTCGTTTAATTTTTTAATTCTTATTTATCTTACTTTATTTAATATTTCTATAAATATATATACCTTATATTTAATTAATATATCTTCAATTTCCTAATTATTTAGCTGTTTTTAATCGATATTTTATTAATATTCTAAAATAATTTTTTTAATTTTTGCAAAATAGGTTTTCTGTCATGGAAACGAATCGCAATTATATCGATGCGAACATAATCATTGGGGTCAACATAATTGCGATCATAACGAGGACGCAGGTGTAATTTGTTCACCTGGAGATGTTAACAATGCCCAAGTAAATAAAACAAATCTTCATTCATTTTATCACAATTTTTGAGACTAAATGTTATCATCTGTTCGGTTGTGCATTTGGAATACGTTTTACAATAATATTAGAACTTGATATATTTATATACAGAAAAGTATGTGTAAAATGCTTAACTTTTCAACTCACAAATGGGGCGAGGTACTCTTCCTTTAAAATAATTTTTTTTTATAATTATGTAAAAATGTTCTGTTTTATAAATTTTTCAAATTAATATCTTGATAAATCGTTAGATTATATTATCGGACCTACCTCCCAACGATCTTAACCTTGACATGTGTTGTAAACGACGTGTTCCTAAGTAACGTACAAAAGATTTTAACTTTTAACCGTCGGTCGTTGTTTATTAAAAAGTTGTTAACAAAAGAACTGAAATAAAATGTATGTACGTAATTTTTGAACAACATATATATAAGAATAGTGAGCTTGTATGACTTTCTGTAGGATTTACCAATATTTGTTACTTACACTAGAAGCTTTCATCTCTCTATTGTTGCCAGTCTTTATGTTACTCTTGTCGTCGCATTGCCTTAGGAATAATAATTTATAGTGATTGCTAGCGTGCATATCATAATTTAAAAAGTGAGGAATTCAATCATTTTAATCAGAGAATTTTGTAGATCCAATAACTGTCAACTGATGTGCATTTACAAAATATTGTGCGTTTATGGCGGAACATGCGAGATGGAATACTTCGTTGTGGAACCAAAGAAGAACATTGTGACTATATGCATAGCAGCTAGAATTTGTGTTTAAACGTCTTTATAATTACTCTGAAAGAATTGATCAATTATTTACAATAATTATATATCCACTAACAAACTATATAATTAATAAAAGATAATAAATAGATTACTATTTACATTGTCCAGTAAATAAACATTATTTAAGTATTTATTCATTATACGCCACTTCCAATTTTCTTCTATTTGAACGTACAACGATTATTCTTAATATAAAATAGTTTCACATGGGTTTACAATTTCGACGCAAAAAGCGAGATCCCGCATCGGGATTTTGATTCGAATAACGAGGTCTATGTATAATTATACATTTCCACTCCACATGAGTATGCAATTTCCACATGATTGAAATCTCCTTGCAACTTTCATGTGTACACAAATGTTTATAAAAGTTGGGGCACTATTGCACCAGCATATTCTTAAATGCGAAAATCAAATCAAGTCAAAAAAGTCTTATACTACTTTTTTCTCCGACAAATCTCCGCTCCACTTGGGACTCTTGGGAGTTTATGTTCTGCAAATAATCTTGGAAGTCTAAAGATTAATTGTTTAAAAAATGTACGGTAAAATATGACTTGACATAAGTCGTAATAATTATTGATAACAATCTCAAAATAGACAAAGCTTTATAATATGCACATGTGTATGCATGATTTGTTTGTTTATTTCCCGACATTCCTTCTTATTAAGCAGCCATACTGGATAAACAGCCAAGAACATCCGGAACAAAGCATTAACGAGCTACTTCCGTCAAATTGTGGTCAGCGCGCCAAAGATTTCGATGACGATGGAGACTTAATATTTCAAAAAGTAGTGCATGGCTCCATTGCCCCAAAAGGCACTTATCCCTGGCAGGTAAATCATTTTTACTGCAAAGAAAATGTTAGATTAATTTTTTTGCGATAATTAATGAAGAATTGTTGCCATCTATAAGTTATTTTATATTTAATGTTAAAATAAATATTGCGATCAGATGCGTAGCGAGATATTAGTGATACAAAGAGATTGTTAAATAATATTTAGGCCAGCATTCGAGTTCGAGGGCACAGTCGATCAAATCATTGGTGTGGTGCTGTTATTATATCACCTCTACACGTGTTAACAGCGGCACATTGTTTAGAAGGTTACAACAAAGGCACCTATTTTGTACGTGCGGGAGATTATAACACGGATGTAAGTAAATCAAGTAAATATAGTTATATATCACCACGAAATTCCCAAAAATATTTACATGCATATATTCGTTAAACAATTCAGACATTGCACTTTTATTTATATTGTGTTTGACGTTATCAGATAGACGAAGGAACGGAAGTGGAAGCCAATATCGAGGATTATTACGTGCACGAAGACTTTCGTAAAGGTCATAGGATGAACAATGATATTGCTTTGGTTCTACTTAAAGGCCTGGGCATTCCGCTTGGCAAAGATATCATGCCAATTTGCTTACCGTCTGAAAATACTGAATATTCACCGGGATTGAATTGCACGATCAGCGGATTCGGCAGTATTGAAACAGGCAAGACGAGTAAGTGAAATATTGGAGAGAATTACTTTAAACTGAATCTCGTAGGATCCACACACTTCAGATTTTTTTGCAGCGCAATCAAAGGATTTACGATATGGCTGGGTGCCCTTGTTAGATCAGTCAGTTTGCCGAGCTAGTTATGTTTATGGTGAAGGTGCCATAAGCGACGGAATGATGTGCGCTGGATTTCTTGATGAGGGTATCGACACATGTGATGGCGATTCTGGAGGCCCTTTAGCCTGCTACCATAATGGTAATGTTGAAATATAATCAATAAATTAATCATAATGAAAAATCATATTATGTACGACGGGCCACGTTCAACAATAAATTTTTTAAATATAAATATAGATTGCAGTCAGAATTGTAAAAATACAATATATTTATATATAAGATGGGCAAATAATAGTAAAATTCAGAAAATATTATAAAAATTTTTGTATCTGGAAAGAATATAATTCTTTATAATTTTTTACTCGAGAATTAAAGTTTGCAAATTCTATTTTTAAAAAGAAAATATTATATTCTGAATTAAATTAATATTTTTATTTGTGACAGCACTGTTAAAATTTGTATTCTCTTTTATATTAGGAGCTTTCAGTTTATACGGGATAACTAGTTGGGGTCAACATTGCGGCAAAGCGAACAGACCTGGAGTTTACGTCCGCGTAGCGTATTATCGGCGTTGGATCGATCAAAAAATTAGGGAATCGCTAATAGGTAGATAAAATGTCGAAATTAAAGAATTTTCGATCAAACATGAATGTTCGTGCATCTTATTATTTTTCTTACAAATGGCAAAACCAAATTTAAGAAAAATTGGTTTTAAATTGATAACTGGACCGATGTATATTAACGATAATTCTAAATGATAATATTTTATCGTTGCCTGTAAATAAAATACTTATTTTGACATAATATATCCATTCTGTCCATTCTTTTGTTTATAATTTATTTTGGCATTTACGCGTGTAGCGTACTTCGTAAATATCTGTCATAAAATATAGAAATAACAATAAAATAGTCCAAGTAATTCTGTTAATTTCCAGTTTATTTCGTAAGACATCTTTGTTTCCTACAGTAATTGTAATTGTTGATTTTCTGTGACTTTTACATGATTGAGCCTATTTTATGTACAATAGTCCCAATATATTTAATCCGAGGTGACTCAGTCCAAGGTGACAATTCAACGGATGGCATTTATAAAAATTGAATGGAAGATACATATAGCTGCGAAAAGAAGGCTATGTTTTCAATGTAAACTTATATAGCTGTCTATAGTGAATAACATTACGCTATTTAATGATTGATTTATCATCAGAGTAGATCAGACAAAAACTAAAATTGTTCGCTTATTAAATTATTTCTTACAACATTGATTTTTTTAAAAGGCATATGATTATAAAACCAATGAGAACATTATAATTAGTATATAAAATATCACGATATCAAGAAACAATATATATTTTTTTATATAAAGTTTGGAAAGATTATCTTATACTTTAGCACGAAGATTGTACCGAAAGTCATGATCGCTAATTTGCAAAAATCTAAGAATTTACAAGCAGAGAAGACATATACATATTAAACAGTTCTACGAATATTTCTCTATTCTTTTGCAAAATCTCTAGCTAGATTAATATGTTTTGCCAAAGTTCTTACAAAAAATTTAAGGATACCTTATAGCGATAAAAGTTCGTTTCAGCTTTTTGCTTAAAATGTATTGTATTTTTGATACTAACAACATTTATGCTAGAAGATTTATATGCATCAATAATCATCATTTTCGGTGCAATCTTTGTAGAACTGAAAGTCCAACTTTCATATTTAGCGTATGTCATATCAATTTATGTTATAGCGTATATCATATCGATTTTTGTTGTGTTTACAAACGTTTGCGAATAAAAAGAAGTTTATAAATTATTAGGTACATGATTGTTATAATTTTTTCTTGGCAAGAAATTAATGATCTTAAATAACAATCTTGTAAATAAGATTTGCCGTTTGAAATTTGCCGTAATACCATTTTTCAGTGCGTATGCAGAAAAAAAATAATTAGAGATATATTAAATACATCAATTATGTTTGCTATGAGATAATGAACAAAAGGTGAATTGTTCATAGAATTCTAAAAGGAGATATCCTACCTGCCGTATGTTGCCGTATGTAATTACGACTTTATATCACTTAAGACTTAAGGGAATGTCGATCAAAAATATGCGCGCTTAATATGGAAATTAATATTAAATCTAACTTGTGAATTCGCTTAATTTAGGCATAAAATGGCCCGAATCTGTGTCGCTGGGAAATATGTTATAACGATTTATCATAATAATATACCTAATAATAAAATTATAAAACGTTATAATAAATATAAAATATGTTTTCCAAAAAATATTTGGATAATAACATAATAGTTTCTTTAGCACATTACGCAATAGAGAAAAGATTATAGAAGATTGTGTACAGCGCACTTGTGCAATGGGCATTTTAACAGAATTGGAAGTTTCGAGAGAATTTTTATAAATAATTTAAATTACAAAAAAAATGGTAAATTGGTTTGTCCTTTTAATGACACAAATTCAGGTCAAACTAACGATCTAATGACTAGATATTAAGCAAAAGTTATCGTCGTTTCCCCATAAATTGAGAATGAACGTACATGTATACTTTAAGGTGACATTAGGCAATTTTGGATTGACCAATTCGCAATTATGATCGTTGATATTAATCATAAATCTCGACGCGAAACAGATCCGTTTTCGCTTTCGCTGCGTTGACTCCTAAATTCGGTTACGACCTATAGTTTAAATCTAAGTAACGTACAGATACGCATATAATTGTATATACACACATGATCATCTTTTTATGTACAGTATCGTTAACTACAGAATGTCATCAATGTCGTCGAACGCGAGGAGAAAAGTAGTGATAAAAGATTATAGCAGATCGAAATAGTAATAATAAATACAGCATTAACAATCGGAAAATGTTTTGCTTGATTATAGAAACAGTTCTGTATCGTTGTGTCACATCGTATGTTCACATCGACATTCTTGGCGAATATACTGCGAACATATTGTGTCTGTTACAAAAATCGTACAAAATAGCGTGATAGAAAATTCATCGAGGATATGACGCTATTTAAGAGACGAAAAATGAATGGGGCTGAATTCGAGTATATTAACAAAGATTGAAAGGATAGGAATTTATGAACACGAATGACGATCATAGAATTGCGATATAACGCTATAAATATTGACAATGTAACACGCACGCCGCTTAAGATGGTACAGTATACTTAGTCTTACCGTTAATAATTGATTTACGATAACGTGCATGTGTAATCGTCGAGTTGGTTTACTTATGGAAAATTGCCACGAGCTTGCAGCGCAACTAGATCTCGTTTGAATATTCGTGAATTATTAATAATTGAATTATTAATAACTGAATAATATTGGACGAAGACAGTCAAATATTTATAAAATGGCAAGTAAACAGTGACGGATTTTACGGATTGGTCACTTGTAAATTTGTAAAAATGTTTAAAAAGATGGTGTGTGTTAATAACAACAAGTTTTCGGCGCATGTCGCGTATTACTTTTTTCATCTAAATCTATATTATCATATTAATATACATTATCTATAAAAAGTTTTAAAAACATTTTTTGATGAAAAGCGTACGTTTAAGTTTGCATACGGCAAGGGCATTCAATAATAAAAAAAACTCAATAAGTCAAGTTATTGATAATAAATACATATATAAAAGGTATATAATAAAAACATTGATTGGGGAAAACGTATATGGATAAAATGGATAATTGCACTTCATGAATAACTCGTGGTATGAGTTAATTAATTATCTTAATAATATATCGAGATAAGTATTCTTTACGATGATCTGATTTGCGCAGAGCTCGTATAATTTGTCATTTCGATCAATAAATGATACTTTCTTTGTTACGCGATCTGTCTGTACACTTTGTCCTAACAATAAGTGCATTTCGTATCTGCTTGTCATTTTCTACTTCATGTGCCGCAAGAGAAAAACGCAATTAAAATACGAATTTCGTAAGAATATACGTGACTTGAAAAAAAGCAATATAAAAAAGAAAATTAAAATTATCTCGAGCTGCGCGATAATGTACATTTACATGAAAAATGCAACGGAAAGTATTCTTGTCAATGAGAGAACGACTGACTATTTTTATTAGTATTGATTATTTTATTGATCTTGAGAATAAATGAGAGCGGATATGGAATTCTTATTAAAGAGACCAAATAGGAATAAACGAAATACAAAAAAGAAACGAACAAATCCGAAGATCTTATTTCGTCACGTGTTATCGCTGCGAAAAATCGTAAAATGAGATCGTGGTTTGGAATACATTCCGATTTGCATGCAATTTTTCTCTCAGGCTGCGAAGTCTTGACTCAGTGAATGAAATTCAAAACAGTCCGTTTTGTTTCTTTTGTTCGATCGTGTCATCGCAATTTCCCGGTATTTCGTCATGCCATAGGCAATGTTTACGTACCCAGGAGAAACGAACTCTTGGTCCCTATATAACTGTTCGGAAACACATGTTTTCTTTTTTCGAATTTATCTGAGCAAATATTTGTCTAAACATAAAAAGAAATGAAACTTATTATGGCATGTTATAGCAGAACCGTAATCTCTGTCGATTAGTATAAAGATCATTAAAAATTATGAATTTATATAATTATGAATATTACGGGTTAATGGGAGAAATATATGATCTCGCGACAAACAGCGACGCACGGGTTAAGAACACATCTGTGACATTCAATATTCCATTATTTTATCTGATAATATTTCATAGTTTGTGAATTTTGCATTCAATACATTTCCGCTATATTTGATCAAAGGCACGGCATGCTACATGTACATTTATTAATCACGTTAATTAATGCCGAACTTAATTCGTTCTGCGAAAAAGCGAACTTTGTCAATTTTTGACAATAATAATTTTATTTTTGTGGCATTCAGATGTACTTTGAGACATCCGTGACCATATTTCATGGCTAAATTTATAATATCTTATAATTAGTAATTTATGAATTAAATTGTATTAATAAATGCTGAGGGAAAGTAAACGCTCATTTTCGTAAATCTGCGTAATATATACCTACGTATAGCACGTTATAATCCGCAAGAATAATTTATGACCACAATATGTTAAGTGTTTTCAGCATGTTTCTTATTTGCAGCCAAATTTTATGAAAAAGCATACGAGATTATTGCAATCTTTACTTCAATCGTTATATCGTGCGTAGCTCCATATATTTGGACAATTTTTCACAGATTATACTCACGTGCGTCACAGGAAAAACGAAAAAAGCGATTATTGTTTACTTTATGGAATTAATATATCAAATACATGAAACTTGAGTTTCACGGTTGAGCCGTGTCATTTTGCCAAAATTTTCGACTTTTTTTATTTTCCTCGCCTAGATTGACCATCTTCGCGATTAATTCTCCATCCTCTTAAGTACGTGCACGACGATCCTTACGATATATCTTTCGAACTTATCGCGCAGGCTTACTCTACAGGAACGACCCTATCTCTCACATCTAGGAGTCTGTCAGCGTATATCAAAAGGACTATGTACAAAAAGTTGAACGCGCCAATCGCATCTCTTTCGAGCGGATCCGAGAATTTCCGGGTCATATCCGGAATTGTTCGGAAATATAAAGAGAGTCGTGATTCGGTTTCCACTCGAGAAAAAAGATATCGGCGAGTTAAAGGCTTAGGAACTATACTTACGGCTACGCGACATTGTCGAGCGAATTTCATAGTCGTCCTTATAACTCTATATATATTTATGCGCCACATTAACTATATATGAAGACTTTTGGTCATTAAGATGATCGAAGTTTCAAATTCGATGTTTTCAATCCTTGAATATTCATCTTAATCGATCGATCAGTACAATCTCATTTATTGACAATTAGCATTTTAATATTGATTATCATCTAGATGCTATCAATTGATTAGCATATCTTGTTGACTGTAAATTTTTAATAAAATTAATCACGGTTGTACTGCATAAACAATGTTTTTTTCATCGATAATACGTTTCAGTAATCCGACATTTCCAAACGAAATAGGTTGACTATTAACCCTTCGTGTGCAACGTCGGGTCATCCGTGCCCTGGCGAAAGTGACTGTCCTGTATGTCAAGTGTCTGTTTATATAAATATATTGTTTAAACAAATGAAAAAATCGGCAATATAGCGATTGATCCTTAAAGTAGGATAGTTAATAAGGTAACATGAATTTTTCCAGATTTTTTTAGAACACTTTAAAGTATTTTTAGGCGTCGGAAATGAGTGACCCGACGTTGCACGTTACAGGTGCCGAAAAAGACGTTGCACGCGAAGGGTTAAAATCAGCATCAAGAGTGTAATATTTTCCAATTAACTTTCTTTCTTTCTTTTTCTCCTTTTTCTTTTCTCTTTCTCAAATATGACACACAATAAAAAGAACGTAATAGAAAAGTTAATGATCGATTAGATAATATTCTTGATAATGCCAAATTGTCGTTGAGAGTTGTTTTTGACGATACATAAATTCGCAAGACAGAAGTACCTAATTTCACGTAAGTTGCCCCAGTAATACTTTAGTCCGCTGTTGCTCTTCCTCACTTATTCTTCATTTTCTTCTCATTATCTTTGCGCATAAACTAGCTACGATTACGAATATATTAATATTTATAATTGTATCTTCATATATATTTAATCATATCAATATCGTTCCCATTCAGCATGTTTCGGCATAGCTCGCTTTCACTGGGCATTCATCTCAGACCTTTAACATATAATTGTAGAAAAATCATTATTTCTTGCTCATATTATACGTGTGCGAGTTTTTTAAAATTGTTTTGCAATTAAATATATATGTTATGAATATATAACTGTTATATAATTTCTGTAGATTTATTCTCTCTTACATGGTAATATAATTCTATTAAATTAACTTATTGTGGGATTAAATACCATTTGTATAAAATATCATTGTTTTAAGTTCTGGAATTATACATTGTATTAAGGAGGTATTCTTGTCTAGAGTGCTGTTTTGGAGGTAATTTTTTGATAAAATAAATTTAAAATTGTTCAAGTTTTCTTTCTAAAATTTTTTACACATATTTATTGTTGCTTTAAAAACATGATAAATTTTTTAGAAAAAATTTAACATGTAATTTTGTACGCTCGGGCAAAATGGCGCGTGGAAAAAAACCCCTGATTGGAAACCAGTGTTGCGGACGTTGTATGTATCTGAAAAAAAAAAACATTCTTAATCTGTATGAGTGTTGTAAGGGTTGGTAGCAGATTCGGCCAGAAAAAATTTTTTTTTACAAAATAGCGACATGCTAAATGTTGATTGTTAATTTTTCCTACGTTTTTTCCCCTTCAGCAAGTTATAAAAAAAGAAAGAAGAATTATTTTGACCCAATTCTGCTACCAACCCTCATACAGATTAATGTTTTTTTTTTCAGATACATACAACGTCTGCAACACTGGTTGCCAATCAGGGGTTTTTCCGCGCACCATTGTGCCCGAGCGTGCAAAACCACACGTTAAAATTTTTTTCTACAAAATTTATACATATTTTTGAAGCAACAATAAATATGTGTAAAAAATTTCAGAAAGAAAACTCGACCCAATATGAAATTCATTCTATCTTAAAAAATCACCTCCAAAACAGCACTCTGGACAAGAATACTCCCTTAAAACAAGCTCTTGATGTACATATTGATGTTGTCTAGAGAAAGTCGATAAAATTTTATTACATTAGATTAGACAGCGGAAATTTAATTTTACTAAAATAGATTATAACAAAATTTTGCTGACTAATAGTTTCTCAATTACAATCTTTGTGTGCGCGCGCGCACACACACGCACGCACGCACGCACGCACGCACGCACGCACACATTTTTTTCAAAAAATAATAACAATTATATTATAGCAAGAATATTACGTCTCAATAATGTGATGCAATACTCACTTTAAAGCTTTATAACGTTCCTTCTCCGGATTGTTATCGGGCGGCTCGCATTCAAAAGATGCTAATGCAAGTGCTGTAAAGAAAATAAATATTTAAAATCGAACAATTTTGTGTCTTTATATTTTCACTACGGAATAGAATGGATATCGCTTACTGTTTTCCGTGAGTACGGGGCTCGCTTGGAGGAAGGCAATAACGCGCGGATTTTTCTCGAATGGACAGGCAACTTGTTTCCACGCGATAAATTCAGTCACCTGTTTCGCTAGTTGCCAGAACTTTTCGAAGTTAATGTGACCGTTTGGCAGTCTGAAACGCATAATTGATCTTAAGCATCAGGAAATTATAATTAATTCTATGATACAAATTAACTATAATTTACATATTTTAAATAATTAGTTCGTCGAGTTTAAATACGCGTTGTATATTTAACACATTGAATCGATAATCTTGATCTCTAACGATGCCAAAGTTTTTACTGATAGATGCATTCTGAAATGTATTGTCAGTACTAAAAAACTATAATTTACGCTACATATAGATATAGATTTTCAGTATTGTCGGAATACACAAAATTTTTAGTTCTAGATGGATATACATATTCAGCTGAACGCTGATTTCTGAAATACTTGTGACAGTTCAAGAAAAAGATTGTAAAGAAAATATTTATCTATTTCATACAAGCTACAACATGTGGTCTAAAAAAATTGAAAATTTTTTTTCATAAAAAACTCGCTTTGATTTTTTAAAATAGTACTTTATATATATATATATATATTTTTTTTTTAATAATATTATAAGGGACATTAAAACGAATTCAATGCATTTGAGAAATGCCACTTTTATTAATACTTAATGTCAAGGTTGCATTACTTAAAATAGCAATATTTATTCTATTATTTTATTTAACCTCTTATTATAGAAATATAAACATTGAACATTGTTTGAAAATAATTTTTGCGTTATGAACACATAATGTTAACGTAAAAGATTATCAGTATTTTCTAAATTTTTTTCCGAAATAGATATTTTTAAATATCACCGTTTTTAACTAATACGATTTTTTTCATAATGTTGTTGAGAATATTATTGAAACAGACTCAACACTAGAGACAATATCATTTTTATTTACAATAATAAAGAAAAATTATAACCTATGTAGGCAAATGTTCAAACTATATGTCTTCTTCTGCAATAAAAAGTTCTACTTTTTTCAATGGATTATATTATATAAAATTATATAAATAGATCGTTCGATCGTATCGTACGTTTGACATTACTTACTTGTTACTGCAACCCTCATTGAGGAAATATAGGTCCTTGACGAGAAGGCTAAAGAAGGGCACTACAATTCGCTGGCGTTCATCTGTAGCGCCAGCACTACGCCACATTGCAGCCTTCAACGTGCTACGATAGCTACTGAAATTGCTGCTTGGGTCCATTTGATGCTCCAAAATTGAAAACTTGGCAGATTGTATCTTTGACCACTGAAATTTATAAAAATAAAAATCGTAGATTGATTTATAAAATAAAAAATTAAAATTGTATAAAATTGTCTGTTAGAATTGTACAAAAATAGTCATATAGAGATAGATTCAAATAAAATAAAAATTTCATATTTCCTAATATATGTATATGTTATTTCATGTTTATAAAGTTTTGATAAATATGAAAAAGTAAAAAAGAAATTATAAATTATAAGCTGTATTTATATACATGAACAAATCTTTGTAGTAGTATAGAGAACTATAAAGAGTGAGGAAGTTTATGTATGGAAAGCACATTTTTAGCATTTAAATTGCATTAAATTGTATTAATTATTATCCTATTATTGTCGTCTCGTATCACATTGTTGTCTGTAGTATTTTTAAGTCTATAAATAATCTTAATTATTTTATATAAATTTATAAAAGATAACATTCAGAGATATTTACGCCACTCACGTTTAATTTATAAATTTCATGACCTAACGATTAATATTTCTAACCGACATTCTTTATATTATAATATTTAGTCAAAGATGATCGTAACAGATTAAAATTAAAAGAGATATTTTGGTGTATAAAACATAAAACATAAACATTTATATATAATAAAATAATATCCATTATATATGGAGATGATAATATAGAGAGTGTAATAATTATAAAATCAAAATTGAGTACTTTTATTACGTAGTACTGTAGGATATTTTGATTCTAGACCGAGGTTGGCCAAACGTATGCCAGCTGTTTACATGAGTATAGATAATTATTGAGTCAGCGATGTCTATTGTCTACGTGTCCTTATTTATTTATTATATCAAATCATTAACAATTGCGGAGAGAAGATCTGTGAAGTCATTTTCGTGCGGTGAAAGAGGAAGAAAGCTGAGACCGACGTGCATGCACTGTACGAAGTAGTTGTGCGAATCTTGTCAAATCTGAGATACAATTATTATATTATAATTATATATTATTAATAAATACAGTGACACACACTGCAGTACTTTCATTCCATCGATTTACGTTCTTTAATCTAATCCTGATGCGGAGTATATAGGCTTTGTTCGTTTAAAGGTGCTAAAGATAGTCGATGGATAATATTTGCATCTGATTCAAGCCTCAGAGATTAAGAAACGATTGAAATGCTTCTATATACCTTCTAGTCTTCTGATAATTTCTTAATTTTTCATTTCTTTTTTCTTTCGGTTTTTCGGTTTTCACAATATTACGATATATAAATTATATCTGGATGTAAGCTTTTCGTGCATTCGTTTTTAATAAAGAATAAACATTTTTTAAATATAAAAATCTATCTTTAGTTACATTTCTTCTTTTAAAATGCGTTTTTGAAATGCATAAAAATTACTGTGAATTATCCATTCTATAAATAATTTTCTATTTTGCACAAAATCTTGTTTTGTCTGCCGAGACTTTGACTTTTGACCCTGTCTCACAGATAGACTCTTGATCTCCAGAGACTTCCTCTCGCCCGTCGTGAGAGCCATTTTTCTTGGCCCGACTTGATTCGACTCCACCGGAAACGCTCGTCTAGAGCAAAAACAGTAGCAATCGGGGACTCCTGCCAGATCCGGTAAATTGAAACTGGTTACGTCGGAAAGGATGTCGGAATACTATCGCATGAAAGGAACAGAATCTATTTTCCAGAAAAAGATCGGTGAAATAATAGGAATAATAGAACACTGGGGATACAAGTAATAAGGAATTTGTTTCTCGAAAAAGCTTTTTTCAAAATGTTGTAGTAAATGAAAATCTGAAGATCGCAAAATTTGATTAATTTATAAATTGTAAGGAAAAACGTATCATTGTGTTGAGATCAGTTAATTGCTGATGATTTAGGCCCAGTTTCACAAGTGTCGGTTAACTTTTAATCTTAGATTAACTCACTTTTTGTCTCTTTTTAAGGGGGACGTTAGAAGGAGACGAAGAGTGAGTTAATCTAAGATTAACAGTTAACCGACACTTGTGAAACTGGGCCTTAATTGCCTTAGAACATATCATGGAACATATCATAGAACAATATGGTTGCTCTTGCAATAGCCTCGTAAATTGGAGCTTCAGTCACGCGTTAGCACAAAAGTAGGGAACGTTAAATTTTCATTATCGAAAATTACCGAACAAATCCTCTACACTACTGACATGTTCGTTTATTATAGTTTCAATAATTATTTTGCGCACTTTCTATATAAATCAGTCGGTTCGGTCAAATGAACTGAATTGTATATAGGCGCTTATATTAAACATTAGTTTGTGTGTGTGCGTGTGCGTGCGTGCGTGCGTGTGTGTGCGCGCATATGCGAGAGAGAGAGAGGAGGGGGGTAAGGAAACGGAGAGAAGTAAAGAAGAGAAAATGAGGAGAAAGGAAGAAGGGAAAGGTTGGTTAAACTTGTAATTGAAAACGACGAAAAAACTTTCCATGGTCCAATATTTCTCGTGATTCGATTTGCGGTACGATCGTATTACTAAAAAAAAGAGGAAGCGCATATTTCTTGCTATAATTTTCTTGCTATGCAGCAATTGGCCAATTTCTGTTCTGATTCCAAATAAAAAATAAATATAGTAAAAAATATATGTATAATAAAAAAGTACATGAAATATTATTATAAAGATATATAATTATGTAAATATTTTATATTATTATATGAATAGAGTGTATCTAAAACTGTTACATTTACCTTGAATTACAGATTTTTAGATTGATTCTGTGGTCAATTTTTAGATTAATTAAAATTATTCAGCATTGAATAAATACTTTAACTCTTAACTCAATTTTTTCTTAATTCTTAATTTAAAATTTTGTACAAAATTTGATTTTTTACATATCATAGAAATATTTATTTTTGTGATATTTTTATACTTAATATCTGTTAAAATTTCAAAAAGTTTGTACTCTAATTTTAAGAAATGCAAGTTTTTATTACCTTGCTCCACTACTGATAATGGATTCAAAGATATGATTCGCTAATGCGATTATTCGTATTCCAAATTATTTTCCCCTATTTGCACGTGGAAGTTTTTCGAACAAGTTTTTTCTCGATGCTTTCGAATGAGAAATTCCGCAAAAGATATTGGCTTCAATTATTTTTTCATTTATCACAAAATTTACCATATAAAATTCACATTGTCTTTGTTGTTCTATTTTCCCCACACATGACAAGCACGTTTATTTTCTCCGCGCGCCAGTGTCATTTCGTTTTGCATCGAAACAAGTAATATCATTTGTCTTCTATATTGGTAAGTTATAAAATTACTTTCTACGGTAAACGGATTCAAATTTGATGATATCGATGAGAAGGAATACGCGAAATTGCGATGACAGTGACATGAATACTAATGCCATGCGAATGCAAGAAACGACATTAGTTGGTGATTGTTCTTTCAATTCCAATCCAAATTTCTCTTTGCAAATTGTTATTGCGATCAAGGTTTAAAGTCAATCATTCTATGCTTTAATTAGCTTCTAATTAACTTCTCATTAGCTAGGTGATATAATGGATTATAGTAATTATATTTAATTAAAGTTTTATAATAAATAATTACATATATTACTTTCGTATGTACCGGAATACATAGTAGAATTCTGATGTTCATTTTAATTCACCGCTATTAGCATAAATCACTTTTAAATCATGATAAATTATCTTTCAATAAATCATGAATATCACGCAAAAATGATACTCGCAAATATTAAATATATTATTCCTATACTATTATTATTTAAAACTATTACATTATTTTCTTCCCTTTTATAAATCTCATTAAATTATTATTTAAATTGACTAATGTTTTTCATTTATTTTAAGATTTTAAAAAATTTCAACCTGTGTGTTTATTCAGATTAATGTGAATATCAGACATATCTTTTCTTATAATTTTTTATAATAAATTTCTTATTATGGAATCACTAACAATAAGTTATTAAAGATTTAATTTCTTCTCGTGAAGCAACGCACACATTACCCCATTATTGAGATAAATATTAAATATATGGAAGCTTTCGGAAGCGCTGTCCGAGAGAGCGTCCCGCCGGGAGCTGGACGACTGGATTAAAGGAATTCCTGGATGGAGTGCATCCACGTGGAAATTGAGAATACGTAATAGCGTGAGTTCTCCCCCGTGGATGTGTGGAACGCTGGTCGAGCAATTAGCTAATTCCCAACGAGACGAAAGGAACGGCAGTTGGTGCGAGGACAACGTTGCCGAGCAACGCCGTTTGACTTGAAACTTTTTAATTACGCGAATCGCGAGCCACATTTCGTGTCTTTTCTGCGGCGCGGCGTCACGGTCAACCGCGATAGGAAAAATTCAATTCGAGCTAATTCGATTGCTCTGCCTTCGCTTTCTCTTCGTCAATTGACTACTAACGTCTTCTTCCGCCCGTAGTGGATTGGTTGCAACTTCGTACAACTAATTTTCACTAATGTGAATTATATGAAAATTAAATTAAATTATCATTCAAAAACTAAAATATCAAAAACTTTAGTGGATTATTCGTGCAAAAGTACGACAAAATCGTTCTTGATAGCTTTTTTCTTTGCGGAGAAACAGCAAAAATTTATTTCTCGGCGTTTGCGGTTACATTCGCAATGTTGACACATGTCGTCACAGCTCACAGCACCCTAGTCTCGATTTACAAAGATTACAGGCCGTTTATATCACGGACGTGCAATACCCTCCTCCCTTGATGCCATTACTCTCAACATTGCATTCTATAATGCAAAAAATGCATTCGAAGCTAACCATTTTGCGAATATTCGCATTTTTCAAATACGCTCTTGCTGGCGTAATTGAAAAATTGGGAAATATAGACATATGCATTGTCCCAAATATCTCCGTGCGAATAAAATGTATAGATGTCGGTTTCAATTTTCCGGACGCAATTTTCGCGGGACTCGTTGCTCCAAGATTTTAATAAAATTTGTGGAGCAATTATGTCGATTCAATGTATGTTGACCGTAGACAATATTTATAATGTTAAAGATAAAACGTACATAGCGTTATAATATATCTTTATAATATATTTTTTTAAATGCAGTTTAATAGAAATATAAGACATCCTAAATGTGTATTATTTTTTCTTTTAATATTCAAAACAAGCATAAATATTATTATCAATTAAACAAAAATTCATGTGTTCTCTCTTACCGTCTTCTTCAAGCGAGATATCGGGGACATGTTGAGACCAGCAATGATAGCCATTAAAGAATTGAAGTTGCCAATATTAAAACATTCTCGAGCAGTCTCGATCCAATATTCGACGACACGAACGCGTTGCTTTTTCTTCGCATGCTGAAAATGTAGGGAGAAACTTTTGGTTATGGAATGTCTAACATCTAACATAGGTATTCGCCAATATTTTGAAAAAAAAATATATTTTTATCTTTTACGAAAGAATTTTGATTAAGCAACAAGAATTTTGCACAAAAAGTTGCAAAAAAATTTTAATATGCGTTAAAGCGATAATACTTACTTTGCAAACTTCTGTCGCTACGAAGTAGCTCAATCTATTAAACCATTGAACGTACGATTCAAGATTCCGAGTTTTCTTCATATCTTTGAAAGACGTTTCTAAATGCGGCGATTCCTGAATAATAAAAATAATAGCGTTTAATATAATTTACGATACAATTATAAAATTGTCATAAAAATATATATAAAATAATTCAAGTGTGAGATAATTGCAATTATCTAAAAATAACTCACTTTGGCGAAAGCTTGCACAAATTCCTCGGGTCCGATGTAAGAGAGTCTTTCAAGTTCTACATGAGTCAATTGTTGTGCCAGTACAGTGGCTGATGGACAGAGTTCAGTAATATCCACCTAAATGATAAAAAATAATAATTTTATATTGGTATGTTCAAAATAATATTTCTAGATAATGTCATATCGAAGACAATATATTAATTTGCAAAATTTTCATAAAACAAATATTGTAGAAAAACATCCAACTTAAAGTATCTGTTGCTATTGACTTGTATACTGTCCCTGTTTTAATAAGATTTCAAACTCTCAGAGCTTTGGTTTCTTTATTTTTTGTTCGTTTTATTCTATTTGATTTATTTATTTACTTTAATTATTGCAACATTTTAAAGAACAATACCAGAGAAAGAAAGAGAGCGAAAGAGAGAAAGAGAAAGAGAGAGAGAGAGAGAGAGAGGGGGGGAGGGTTGGATGGATTTTATTCGGGATGCATTTTTTACATTTTCAACCTCACGTCTAATTGCAAGTCTATGTATAGATATCCCTTGATAACTTTGGTCTGCAAGAAATGATAGATGGTGATAAATATACGTATATAGCTTTTCCGATTGCGGCAGAGAAGTAAAGACGTCGTCGAGAGGCGACGAATAAAATCACTAGGCCGCGTGATCCGTTTAGGAGGAAATGGCACTCCGAGACGGACTTCCCTCTATCGAATTATATCGCCGATCATATTATCGAAGAACCGGGTACAGAAGTGGACAGAGACTAAGAAAAAGAAGAAATTGCTTTGATGAGTATGCCCGTAAAAGAGATAATTCAAGAATCTTCACGTGGAACTCTGCTCTGTAAAAAATATCATAATTTCAGATATCTCGAAGCAAGCAATCAAAATATGATATTTTTCTATGGATAAAGGGCACTTTTAAACATAAAATGTTTTGTGTAATAGATAAAATAAATTTTTGTAATGGAGAAAAAACATGAAAAGTTATCATCAAAAAAATTACGAGATGATCCAAACTACAATGAGTTGTATTTTCTTCTTTCTAAGTCTATCATGGATTGCTGTGAAATATCATGCAAGTGCAGTTTCTTTTTTCTGCATGCGTATAACATTGCAACATTCGCGTGATTCTCACATCGAGTGATTATAGTATAGTAGTAAATTTTCTTAATCGTTGCTTCACCATGACAAAATTATTTCCATAAAAGCCAAAAAATTCACATAAATTTGAAATAAATTGTTCATTAGAAACAATATTAATTTTTCTTGCAATTTAAATAATATTTATTATTGTTGCAAGCTTTTTCACATAATTAATATATGTAGCTCATCGTTTATTTCTGATTGTTAAATATGTTTTGTAATATATTTTAACTGTTTTCAATTAAGTTGATTCTATTGCAATATAGTAATACTTATCACTTCAACATAATAACAGAAAGTTTAAAAATTATTCACGAGTTGTTTTCAGAAAGTACAAAATTTTCTTTCGTTCTATATAATCTATATATACATATAATAAATTTTGCGCTTGAAATACGTATTTACTTAAACAAGATTTGCATATTTTAACTGATTTAATTTCACACATACATTGTCAATATCGCAGACTGTAGTAATATATAAATATATTATGCAACAAGGAAGAGAAAAATATAAAACTCAATTATAAAGTTATTCTTTAGTTCTATTTTCTCCGATATCAAGAAATTCCTTTCTCATCAGCAAAAGCAATTTTGAGATATAGCAAAGCGAGTAGATAACTTATAACAAAAAATGTCATGCACATGCCACATTTTCTCATGCAGTTTCATTTTAAGAGAGCGAAACTCAACTGAACCGATGGATAAAATAAATTGTAAGTTAAAACGAAATTTCTAACGAAGGCGGAGAGGATGCAATCGTGAGATGTTTCTGCTAGCTTTCGATATAGGATGCACTTAGAAGTTGCTCGATAGAAAGAAAACAAATATCAAAAACTCATGATTGGTCTCGTAAGTTACTTCTCGTCTTGAGCAAAAAGAAATGGTCTTCTTCTGGTGTGACACGTAACGAACGACCGCTGCGAAAGTACGGCAAACTAATAATTCAGCTCTTTACGCTTGGGATTATTTGTATCGTTATGTTGACGGATAAAATACATTTTGAAATCTACGAATAGGAAAATACGAAGTTTTTAACTAATTGTAAGTTTAATATATCTTTTCGCATTTCTCAATTAAAAAACAACACACGATACTTGTTATTAAACAATGACAAATATTGCGTTACGCTATAATTTATAGAACGTTTATAAATCCTTGAAGAGAAAACAGAACTCAATCGGAACTAAAAAAATAAAATATTTTTGGAAAAACTAAAATAATAAGAGAGCAGAATGGGAGAAAGAAAGGGGAAGAAGCGGGAGAGAAGTAAAAATAATACGGCATTATTGGTCTTGAGAGTTGTAACTCTTCCATGTTTCCACGTGAAACAGCATCGTTGCTATCGTCGTGGCACGTACAGAACGAGTTGAAAAACGCTTCGAAGCGAATTTGCGGTTTAATAAGCCGAAGCTTCGCGAGAGCTCGACGTGCTTTACCTGTCTCATGCTTTCTTCTTCTCCTCTTGTTCTTAGCATTTCTTTTTTTTTTTTTTTTTACTTACACGCGCTCTCGTCTTTCCTTTCCAGCTTGTCTTAGAGCTCGTGATAAGTAATCTTCGCAAAACTCCACAAACTACGAATCATATACGTTAACAAAACAGCTAAAGCAACCACGATCAAGTAGTAGTGGCTTTTGTTCATGTACAAAGTTTTGATACAACAATAAAGAGATTTTAATAATTGTAATCATCGTCATCAAATGAATTAACTAATGAGCTTGTTTTGATTGCAAGATGTATCATTTTTTGCTTTTTTGTTAGAAGCAAATTAGTAGGATTGTTAAAGAAATAAGGATCACGTAAAACATTCGTGCCAAGCATTTAGTAACTACACAGTAAAATATAATGTAAAAGATAATATAAATTGTTATCGTATATTTATTGCATCTTTTACATAAATGTATGTATCTCGATCAAGGGTTTTCAAAAAGCAGAAACTATGCGTTTTTATATTTAGGAAATTGTGTATGTGCTTAAACATTTCTTATTTCCTTATAGAAATTTTGCGACATTTACCATATAATCGGCAAAAAATCGTTTTATAAAATATTCTTTGGAATAAATTCGCCGGAAATTCTATCTCGCAGGTTTAATGGAATTTTTCGTTTTAAACATATAAATACCTAATTTTATTTCCATCTTGCACGTAAGTAACAGTTATTTCGTATTCATGGCAGAATTATTGCGTGCGTAAGTTCAATATAGATATGCCCTAACTCGTTTATATCGTGTTAGTATTAGTATTTTGGACGTTCTGAATCGTTTACCATAAATATGATGGATAAATAAAAATGTAATTTTAATAAAAATAAATTTTTAAATTTAATATTGAGATTTTGCATTTTCTTATAAGATATACATATTTTTAATTTATAAAAATATAATGTGAACAATTGATTCATAATCACATTTAAAATAAAATTTCGTACTTGGTAATATTTATAATTGATTATCTAAAAAGTTTGCACATTTAATAATAATTTGATGGTTTTCTTTATGCGAAAGCTATTTATTTTAATCAAGAATATTAAAATTAAGATTTTGTTTCAATATTTAAAGTTTCATATTATTCTCTGCACAAACATTTTTTTCCAAGATATTGCATTCAATTTTGACTTTTATTTTAGTGTAAGGTATACTTTTCGTGCTGTAATTCAATTTTATGTTACAGTATTCTAAATAAAAAAATTTTAATGAAATAGATAGTAATTGCTATTTTTCGTATATAGATATGGCGCGTAGATATAGCTGCCATTTACAGTTGCAAAAAAAAAAAAAGGAAACTACTAAAACTAAACAACTCGATAGGCGTATCAGGTAACTTACTATAATTTATAAATATTATTATTGTCTCAGAGAAATTCCGCCTTCTAATATATCATCGTAATCCTTGACGCGAAACGACCTAGCATCATTCAAAGAGGTGTGCAGCCACACAATTTCGTACTGATTACTGATTAGCCACACATGACACCGTCCGGTATATTTAACTAACTAACGTAGCTGCAAATTACCTATTAGCGGGTGTTACAAGCGGCAGATAGGCACGCGATAATCAAATTAACGGAATGATTAACGTCTCCCTGTATGGAAACTGCACTAACAGGGTTAGACTAACCGCGCAAAGTGCACGCGCGTACGCGCACGTGGACCGTGGACCGTAGACGTCCAAGTTTGTGCGTTTCGATCGGGATGCGTATATATGCGCGTTGGTGCGCGTGCGATACATGAATGTAACCGAGATACCTACATTCGTGTAACGTAACAATCGTGATATAGCAATCCATGTGTGGAACACGTTCGGAAGTGAGAGAGAATGCATAAGAGACGGGGCGTTATCCAGAGGGAGAATATTATCGCTTCATTATGCTGAAAGTCCTCGAAGGGTCGATGCGATTACGGTAAGCCGAGTAATCGGGCTTTGCAACATGGCAAGCCGGTTACGCGAGTAAAATCCATATTGAAATTGCGGAACAATGCGGAGCTCGGTTCAATGCGCGATTGACCGACACTACTATATACTCTTTCTCTTTTTCTCTTTATTAGCTTATACTACCTTACTATCTTATCTTTGTGCGTGGTGTGTAATTTTATGAAGCTTCATGATGTAAATTACATAGAGAAATCTTATTTTTGCAGATATGGATATATTTTGTATTCAAATCTAACTATGACATGGACGATGTGATCGACGCATACTGATACAATTGTAAATTTGACTTATACGAGATAAGAGTTATTTTCTATAATTAATAAATGTTATCCCGACACAATATGACATTATGAAAATTGTTAGCATACAAGATCATGTAAATCGACTTATGCGGATACATTATTTCGATTTCTCTGCGGAAAAAAAGCTTTCGTCATCACCAAATTACATTTTTGTTATTCAGTTAGACTGTACGTCGCTATTGTTTGAAAAAATTGATAGGAATCATCACAAACTTTATACGTACAATTAATTTCAGAGAGATCGGCGATGTTGTAGTTTGGAAAATGTCGCGCTAAGCTACCACTTAAGCCGAGGTGGGACAACGAAATGCAAGCTGATGGCCGCAAATGGGCGCTTGTATCGAAACTCACGAACCTGTGTAAGCTGCTCCGTTGCTGCCTCGGTCGCCAGTCTCGCCAGGCCCTCTTCGTACCTTTCTAGAGCCGTCAGTCGTAGCAGCAAGTTTTGCAGCAGCGCTGAAACTTCCTGCCTGGCCGCGGCGTCAACCGCCGCGACTTTCTGCGTGATGGACCTAACGTGACCCATCACCCTCTCATCCCGGAAGTCATACGGAAATGTTTCCGTCCATTCCGCTAGCAGCTGTACCAGCCGCGGCACAAAACGATGCAATCGTTCCTGGAATACGTATACTGATGCTTAATCGTTTTACAATGACAAAGGTGATTTTTTGTTCCAGGGAGCAAAATGTCTTTCGGAATGTGAATAAAGTGATGAGAACGACAGTGGAGTATTGATATCATTAAAAGACTATTGGAGCGATTTGTGAACGAGAAATATACACTCACCAAGCCTTGATTATATAACTAAAACTTTTTTTCAGTGTAGCAGCAATTAGTTTCGAAACAATACCGTTATACATATAGGATTATATGTACATATAATATACATATACATATACATATACATATATATATATATATATATATATATATATATATATATATATTTCACGTATTAATATATAGGGGAAAAAAAAGCGGTATTACTTATTTGAAAATGCTTTAATAGGTACTCGCAATTTGATTTTGAAAGAAAAGGATTTTAATAATTTGATAATTTACTATAAAAAATTGTAAAATAAAAGAAAACTGTCTATTTTATTCGAATGTAAAGTAGTAGAAGAGGAGAGAGGAGAGTGAGAAGAACTATATGAAATTTCTTGTGTTTATATTTTCCGTGGAAGAATAGATCGAGAAGGTGGAAAATACGACCAGATATAAAGATGGATGACTTTGCGATGAAACAATAATACGCGGCCTTCGCGAATGCCTGATGTCAGTAGAGAGCTTCGTGTCATTTCGCAGATGAAAAGTATTGATGCTCACCTTACCGCCCTCTCCATTCAGATTCTGCTGATGCTCGCAGAGAGCGCAAACCTCACCCAACAGCTCGTGTGGTTTGATGAAGAGCCTGGCGCTCAGCAAAAAGGCAAAGAGATACGCTCGATCGGGATAATATTCCTCCGTAGGCACCATATGCTGTACTAACGCCTCGAGTGAGCCTGAGACGAGGTTGCCATCTCGGTACACCAAAGCCTGAAACAATATACGGGTTAGTTTGGGTATATACAAGTAACGCGATAACGTCATGTTGCGAATTTAGCATATTATTTGTAGTAGATTCAGTATAATAATGATTAACTTACAAATAATATAATTCAGAAAATAACAATATTTTAAATAATATTTTAAAACATTTAAAAATTTTGAAATATTCTAAATTTTTTAAATGATGTTTTTGCCTTAAAATTTTCTATCAATATAAAGATCTATTTTTCAGCAGAATAAAGTCTTAAAAATATATTCTTGGAAAATTACAACTGGAGCAATAAAAGCAATTTTTATATTCCACTATCAGTTATCTTTAATAGTTTTCAAGTTATCATCAAGTTATCTAAAAAGGTTTAGGATATTCCACAATACCCGCACTTTCTCTGTATAATATAAATTATTTACATGATATTTATATAGACACACGTTACAAGTTGGCAATGCATAATTCCGGAACTTTTTGAATTTTTTCCATTGTGCAATTGTGCATTATTCTCGGTACACGAGACTTTCACGAGTAGATACGTGCGCGGAATGTAGAATTTGCTTGGTAGGTACTGTCGAACGCCTCCGCGGAACGCGCTTTTGAGTTAGCTCGTTTCAAAGTTGGCGAATGCTAAATCTGCGCATCATCAAAGTTGCACTCACAGCCGAGGTAAGCTCTAACAAGCTGTCGGGTGTTCAAATTGGATTCCAACTTAAACTTATCGCGTCTTAATGCGACATTGACAAGGTAATATTTCCGCCATGAACGACCGTTCAAGTTCTTGGCGCATCCGATTAGCTCAGTAATTGACAATATCTTCCGGAAATGTACATATAAATTTATGTTTTACATGTGACAGATAAGTGAACAAAAATATTATGGATATGTTTAATATACTACCGTGTGTAATCTTATCAATAATTGGTCAATTGTGTGGTTAATGAGATGATTATCAAATATTTCATAAGCGTAACCAATAATTGTAATTACCATAATTGATAAAGAGAGAGAGAGAGAGAGAAAAAAAAGAGTCTTTCTTCTCTATATAATTACATTTTTCTTCATATTGTAGGTATGTGTTTTTATTTTTGCATATTTCTCTCATAGCAATGTGTTTTAAAAATATTCTAATTGGCAATGAGTAACTGATATAAACTTGTATGATCCACATGAAGGATTTAAATAGCTTAAGCTTAACTTCCGTTAATGCAACATCGACGAGATAACGTTCTCACCTCAACTCGCGAGCAGTGTAGAAACTTTCAACGCCATCAACAGTCGGTTGGGATATACGAGTTAATGCGAAAGTGTGAAAATCTACCTCAACCGCACATGTACTGCGCTATTCTAAATTTCTCTCTCTCTCTCTCTCTCTCTCTCTCGCTCTTGCTCTGTCTCTCTCTTTGAAGCTCTTTAACTGATTAAAAATAATTTAATTGACTCAATAATACATATGTTTTTAAAGTTTGTTTAGCTCAAAACATTTTCAACAACGCACGTATTCGCTAGAATTTCTTGCTGTAAAAGCATTGTGTAATATCCTCGGAAGAAAAGAAGGTAAAAACTACTCTCACACATGTTCTCTTTTTAATATTTTAGAAACTTTCAGATTATCATATTTGCATTTAAAAAATTAAATAAAATTTTTAGTTTAACGAATAAAGAAACATTTTTTTCAGAGACTAGTTCTTACAATTTAGGAATTAATAATATAGTGTATTAGTATTCTTTTGTTAAATTTTATAAACGCCGTTGTGCCCTGTAAAGACGTAAATATTATTTAAAATCTTTATTCACAATTGTTTTCTAATAAATGTTACTAACTGCTTTGGCTTTACAACTTTGTTATGTGGTATTTTATGATGGTGGATGAATATTATTCGACTAGGACTTTACATGGCTTTGAGAAGTTTTAGGTTCAATTAGTTTATTGAAACGGAGGGCGGGAGGTCGTAACGGTACTATTACGAAGTTTCCGCAGGTCGTAAAGCGTTTCCATCCGTGCCACCTATTTTCCAGTAACTGCAAGTAACAAAGTGAATACTCTAGTGTTGTTCTCGGTTTCTCTTTTCTCTGTTCTCAATTCAGGTTATGTTTGTTTTCAGAAAGAAATTAAACTACGTAATCTCTTTAAGCAACTTCAACATCAATATATGTATATGTACTGTGTATGTACATGTTTATATTGACTACAATATTGCAAATAAAATATTTACATAAAAGTATCTTTATCATAATGTCAAATAATTTTTCTAAACAATTATTTCAATATTCACCGTAATTTTGATTCCCTCTCTGAATTTTGCACATTTTAATTTTTAATTATTAATCAAAAGAACTATTCTAAGGAATCTGGAATATTATGTATTAGAGCGAATAGCTAATGTTTTTTTGCTTCTTAAAGAATTTTTTTAAACGTAACGTATATACATAAATAACGAAGCTATCTTTGCAAAATCTAAATAGATTGCTAGATCGATATTACTCCTTTAGCTTTATAGGTATTTTCATCAAACGGATATTTCCGCAAAAGCTCACACCGTGATTGTTCGGCCCGAAATGTCGGCGCTACGATATAGGCGTCAACAATTTTTTCATCGCTTTCCCCATTTTCTCCGTGCCTTTCCTCTTTTCTATCTCGATCGGATTTTTTGCAATTTTTTCGGTGCCTGTCGATTTACACTTTACACGCGCCAGCAAAATCGACAATGCTTACGTCGTTTGCTGCGCTCGTCTAGCAGTTTATAATCGAAAAGCGGTGGAAATGGTGGGATACGAGTTTTGGTGGGACGGCAGGCCAGATGAAGTTGCGCATGTTTTATTGTGCTTACTACGACTCGTTGTTCTGTTTTCTGAATGTTCCAATATATTGAAGCGTCTCGCCTCTCGTGGCCATCTTTCCGTATTTGCGTATTCATCTCTGCATGAATATGACAGAAGTGAAATTGGAAACGTGGTATACTGAGATCTACAATATTTATATCTCGTATATTCTCATGTCGATATACCTAACATGTAGCATTCAAAAATCGCAATGCGTTTTTCTTTATGCTCTTTTTCAAGTAAACAAACAAACACAATACACAATATTACCACGTAGATATATGTACTTAAAATAAAACCCTACACGCGCAAAATTTAAAAAGAAGAAAAGAGTTATAATTGATATTTAGATAATTTACACGTCTATATTTCAATTATAAAAATATTAAAATATTTTCTATAAGTGTAGAAATATAGAATATTATTATTTTTTATGTATTGTATAAAAATGTTTTTTCAGAATAGTCATAGTTATAGAGAAAGCAGAAAATTACAATAAGAAATAATTTCTAACGTTTAGAAGCAGCATAGCTGCCTTTTGTTTCGATCTGCTACAGCTTGTAAATCTTATTCAGAGAAGAACTAATTTCGTAATTGCAATCCGAATCTTTTCGCGATAATAAAAAAAAGCGGAAAACGCGTATATGCTATTCTTTGCTTTTAGCGTTTAGCCATTTTGCGAAGCACGCTCTGATTCACTTCACTGTTTACCAAATGTTAATTTCTTGCATTATTCTTATGGAATGTGGTAAACGTATGTGATCATTAACTAAATTATACATATAAAGTTGAGTTATAGTTACAACAAGACGCAAGAAATGACTTTTGAATAATGTATGTGACCGTAAAGTTTTCTAAATGTAAGCTATTATTTTACACATCAACATGCACAGACAGAAAATGCTGTCTTTAATAGTTATGAGTGATGATTTTCTAAAAAAGAATTAATGTTTCTAAAGTTACTCGCCCTTTAAAACGAAATTTTTTTGCTCTTTTTCTCGATCGATAGATCTCATGAGCGCATTTAGGGACGACACAGACGAATCACGAGCGTAAAGATCTATCCTGCGTGTCTTGTAGCAATTCTCTGCAGCAAAGAAACCAATTCCGTTGCCATTATGCCGCCAATTTATTTTCTGTCTTACCCCAGGTTATACTAATCTCGAAATCTCTCACAAAAAACGAGCATTATTGCTAAAGTTATATTCAACAATAAGTAGAATAATTATTCGTAAATACGTGGTTTTTTTAAGTTTTGCACGCATATTTTCTTCCGATTTTACTTTAACTCAGGGAGAAAATAAGGACAGGAAAGGAAGAGAAATTATCATTGTTTGTTATATTCGTGTAGGCAAAGTCGAGGAATCTTATGAAGATGCGTACAATACATCTGCTAATGCGAATTGTTCCGGCGCTCGCATATTTGCTTAATTAAAAGGTAGATTAGTGAAATGTCTGGCTGAAGTTGCGAGTAACAATACGCGGAGTATTGTGATTATGCAAATTTCTTTAATTTCTCCCGAGCCATCTGCGACGAGCGTTAATGTCGCGTAATAAAAGAACCGAGTTGTGGGGAAGAGTTCTTCTTACTCTGCTTGCGTCGAGACATTTTTTTAACCAAGAGTTCCGCAATTGTGGACTAATGAGCATTCGGAGTACTGTGTAAAAACGCGATCAACAGTGGCATATATAAAGTGATAAACTTAATATTTGGATCAGTAACAACAAGTATCAATATTCTTTTGATTGTAGATTATAGATATAATTTTTTTTTTTAATTTTTCTTGTCTTTTAAAAACTCTTAAGACAAAACTAATTTTTTTACAACTCTAGGAAAAAAAAATGTAAAACTTAAAAATATATTTTTATTTAATTAATTTTTATAACGCTTTATTTTATAAGTGCAGTTTTTTGGCCAAAATATGTCAGAATATCGGCAAATTAATTTGTCTATCAAAATATAAACTGTTCTATTTCAACATTGCTTGTTTTATAAAATTTTATATTTATAAAAAGTGACATATTTCTTAATTCATATGTCTCTGAAAACAGTCGAAAAATGCGGTTATATAAGTGCTTGACGTAACGATAAAAGAAGTGTCAAACGTTTTATTAAGGTAGTTAGTCCGTGACAATACTGTCAAAAAGTTAATGATAGACAAATGACATATAGTATTTGACTGGGATTGTCCGCGTTATGCATATGTGTGTGTAAGAATCTCATATGTAGATGTATATAGACACTAATGTGTGCTACTAGATTAGGTTCACTTCAAAGAATTACTTCGAAACTAAACAGTCAAAGGTCTTGTAGTTTTGTAAGTATATTTTTACAAGTTTTTTCTATCGTCTTCTTGTTTTTCATAAAATTTGCCAGAGTAGTTTGATTGCTACAATTAGAAACGTATTATCGGAAGCCGTTTTCGTACTTGTGATACATGTAAAAAGTACTAACTTTGATTTCAATTGTCTCAGCTTCGCTGCGGTCAATTTTTTTCGAATTGCACAGGTGTGTAAATCGTGTTTACATCAATATACTGTTCAAATTTAATGAGGTTTTCAAGAAAATGACTTTACGGACTAACTACCTTAAGTTGAATACATAAAAACCACAGCTGGCCCCTATAGTCGAAGCAAGTAGAAGCGCATTTGTCGAAGCGAGAAAAGAATATGTGGCGGATAAAAAGGATGGGAGAAAAAAAAGAAGGCCCAACGCGCGGTATAATAAAGAAACCGTAGCACGGGGGGCTTTGAATTCACAACTCTTCCCTCTGCTTCCTCCATTATTTTCTATCTGCCCAGCATTATGCATTTTTCTTCGCCTATATCACGAAAAACGTTGGTAAAACGTTTCATACTTGCATTCACAAGTGGCCGCGAATCCGCTTTATTAAACTCTTCAAGCGCTGGAGAGCGTGCACGTGCGAATTACAGGCATTATAACGCGGTAACATTTGATTGATAGGAGCGATAAATATATAGATGAAAAAGATATTTTTAATCAAGGCAAGAATAAATGACGAAAAGCGGAACATTAAGTTTTTAGGAGAGAGAGAGAAAATAAAAATATGACAATTGTGTGCGCACATAATATAAATGTAAATTTGTGACATAGATGACGTAGATCTACGAAAAGTTCTTTCACTGTTAAAACTGGGCCAAAACACATGCATGTGATATTATCTGATTTAAAACTGCCACATTTATTAAAAACTATCTTTATTAAGATGGTCACGCTTTAGTTTGTAAAACATAGAACACCTTTTTATATTTTAGATTGAAAATTACGATAGGGAATCATCTCACAACAATTTCTGCAGAATAAGATCATGTTCCCTTTCTTTTGATCGATGGAGCTTCCAACTATTTCGAGTCCTTCGTCTTGAGACTATCGGATTATTCCATAAGATGGTTTACATTCTGCAGTCACTGCAAGGGATAACGTTTCAGCGACGTAATACTATGCTAAATACGCTTCGTAACGCTCACATAATCCCAGGATATCCAGATCTTGGATAAGAAGAATGTTACATTGCCAGGGAGACAAAGCTTTTGTTGCAAGTAATATGCTTGAATCATAAATCAAAGAAGTAAGCCATTTATAAACTCGTCCTCGTTTTATCATCCTGTTTGTATTATTTCAACATTTTCCTGGCTCGAAAAAATTAATGAGCTTTGTAATTCTTTTGTTTCGACGTGTATAACAGCATCACTTGTGCAAATTCTTCGGACGAATTTTTTTTTCTGATTTTTCTACAAAATTAATTTTTTTTAATACGATATTTAATTTCTGAGAAAACACGAATAATAATTAAATGGCTTATTACTCTTATTATCAATTTTATTCACTTTTATGTATTTTTATTAAAATTAATAACATTCTTTTTTTTCTTTCGCGCACGTGTGCACGTCAGTTTACATCAGTTTTACATAAATTTAACTTATACTTGCGCTTTGAACAATTTAAAGGTTATTAACTCAAAGTTTTAAATTAACGATATGTCTACATCTTTTTATATAGATTGTGATATTATATTATTTATTTGCTATATATGTAGTTTATGAAAAAATTTAATTAATTATATTTATCTTAACCCTGTTATTAGTAAAATGTTATTTTACTTATTTTGTCAAGATATTCAATTTTTCCGCTTGTTGATTTATGTATTACGTTACTGATCACATGATTCTTCCTGAGTTATATCTTTATACCTTATGTACTCTGTGATTCATACGATCAAGTATCATCTTTCTTTTGTCACTCATTGAGAAATAAAACAGGCATCGTGTGTTTAAATATTCAAATTCCTGTTTGTTAATTTCCTTTGAAGATACTTCGAATAATCGCTGGCGAGATCATATTTATATAATTTTTATAATAACGCTATGAGCATCATTACTAAAATTTAGTTGTCGAAACTTACGATTATATAAATAGTTTTATAAGAGTTTAATTAATTTGAATAATTACTTCTCATACATGCTTTCGACACCACGTTTTTCAATAAGTATACCACATTTCATACATTTCCTCATCTTATTAATAAGCCACATAAAGTGAGCAAAATTGTATTACAGATGTTAAAAGCTTTATTCAAAGTACAAAAGAGCCTCTCATGGTTCCGTGCGTTTTTCTCGTTTTTTTCGTCTGATTAATTCCGCTTGCAAAATGTTCCCACTCTTTGTTCCTTAGGCTTTTGCATTTCTGTCCCGCATGGCCTCAAGAATTATTATTATTATTATTTTTTTAAATAAAATTGAGTTAAACTTTCCATTAAAAAAACCTACGAGAAACTTTATTCCGTCCTTTTTGGTCTTCTAATTTTTCATCAGTCTTACGATTAGTCTTCACGAGAACAGCATCGCCATTTTAAGAAAAGTGCTCTACTTAACTTTTTATCATGTCTGATTTTCCTCACGAAAGGTAAAACCTTTCATCCACGGCTTTTTGATAAGTTGCTACTTAATTGCGTCGTTTTCGTATACGATGCATACTTAATTATTGAGAGAGTTTTCCAGGAATTTTTCTAATCATCAAATAATCAAAATTATTATTATATTTTCATCGTCATATTTTCTGAAGAGAATAAGGAAGAGAATAGGAAAACGAAGATCTATTATGCAAAAAAAAATAGCAGAGTATCAGATTATTAAATGTCAAAAGATAACACAAACGTACGTATTCGCATAAAAAAAGAAAGAGAAAAAGAAAATAACAAGCAATAAGACACAGATAAAAATGTCACAGATAACTGCAATAATTTTTAATTTCTCATATAACATATAGATTGTCATTAATTACAACATAATTTGTAAAAACAAAAAGAAAAAAATAACTTTATTACTTTATACATTGTATATGTATATATTATATTTCTTCAATTTTACATAAAAAATTAATATAGATAATAAACATAATAAAATCAAAAATATTATTAAAAAAAAAAACAAATTTACCTAATAATAATAAGAATAGTAATGTATCGAGGAAATTCCATGTATGTATATCGTTAGATCGCAGAATCCGCGGATGACCAGTCGATTCTATCTCTATTCGCACCCCTTTTGTCCGACGTTCGCCCATGGATTTCAACCCTCATCCAGTCTTTACTGCCTATCCGTATCCCTCTGCTTTTCGGAACTCGGTGAAGCGGGTGGAGGGATGCAGATAACGGTTTTAATTCCGTACGAATGGATCGACGTGCGAAAAAACGGCAGGGGGAATCGTCGGAGAGGCGGATTGATGGACTGCCGGGAACAATGGTTAACTTCGGAAGTAATCGCTTAATTCCTGAGTTCCAGCTAGCTCCTACTGTCTGGTTAGATCCCGTATTGCATACTTTCCGGGATCTTGCTGTTTCCCTTTCCTTTCCCCTTTTAACTTATGCACGCGAGAACGTAGTATTTTTTAATCCTCTCACGCACGGATTATTTCTTCCCTTATGACAAAAACTGAGCAAGAAACTCCATCCAGACTACATTTAATATCATCACTACCAACGCGTGATTTCGCTTTTATTAACGTAACGCTTTTGTTATTTGATGTAAATTCAGGAAGAATTTCTATTATCTTTTATTAATCTTAGTAAAACCCAAGATTCATAAATTTAATAGCAAAATATGTGCAGAGCGTGTCTGCACGTATAATGCTAAATAAAATTTTGCAATTTGTAGAGCTTTCGTGAACAACGTACAAGTCGAGCGTAAACGATGATTTCCCATGACATGTCGGTACGAGTTCTTTTTACTCTTTTTCGTTATTCGCTCTGACTGGTCCCGCAATCCCTACCTGGTGCATGGCAATAAAGGGGTCCGCTCAAACTTAAACTCAAGTAGAACGAAATAAACAATAGTATCAAGCACAGCGAATAGCCGCTTTGTTGGTCGGTTCTTTTGCCATGATAAAACTTTTGTCACGATGGCACACTTGTGAGAAACTTTTCCGAGTTATCGACAAAGGAAGGAAACAGTTTGTTCCACTTTCATTTCGTTACTGGACGATGGCGTTTTGCCTGTTGAAACTCATTAACCTAACTACCTAACCGAACAATTAAAGATACTTGCGTCAAATCAAGTTTTAGAAACACAAAGAGTTGTAACCATTGCAACATCAACATCTAGTGTACTTAGTATTATAAAAAAGTTTGAATAATTATGTAATTCTGGTTATTGCACAAAGAATTGTGTACGCACAATTTATTAAATGCGCAAAGTATTTTCTTGGAACCCCGTAATTTGAATTTTATTCAATTTTTATAGGTTATTTTAACGGGTAATATATTATATATACTTGATATATGATTTTGAATAATATTTCGATCATATAATATATAGATAATTTTACATTTAATTTATTTAACAAATTTCGAATATGTAAAATTAAAACTAAAATTATACATGTATATCTATATAACTATGAATTGTACACTTACAAGCTCTGTATCTATGCCAGCACCATCCCGAATGTTTTCATGATCGACACCAGCACCATTGACCATTCCAGCGCTTGAGCCGGTACCACTTGCGCTTGCTTTTCCACTAGCCCCACCAGCTGGTGTTTGTGGTAAGCTCTGAAAAATAAAGAGATTTATTTTTCAACTCGAATATCTCAATATTGAAAAATATCAATTTGTTGGACGTGTCATTTATATATTATTGAAGCAAGTAAGATAATAGTTACATATATACTGAAAATATTCGTTATATCATCGACGAGATACTGTTAAAGATCGACAACGACGACCCTGGGTAAATTTTCATCATCACCAAAGAGGCCCCCAGGCCCCATGCAGGCAGAGGCCCGGCGGTAATTGAAGAGTGCTGACATTAACAACCGTTTGCTAGGTGATTAGGGGTTTGGTTAGGTCAGTTATGTGCATTCACTTGAAAATAATTGTATTGCTGCAATGAGTGATCTATTCAAGAATTTATATCGCCATTGGGAGCTCGATAACACGACAGTGCCCGATTTGTTTCCCACCAAAATCTGTGCTGAAATCTCGTCTCAATTTCACCTCAGCAAGATTCTTCCTTTTATTCGTAACGTCTTGAAGCTTTTCTCGAACTCGAACTCTTCCTTGCGGCGCGGGCGCGGGCGGCGTTCTATGGCAAACGAAACGAAACTGCGTCTTGCCACGAGCGCTGGCTTTTACGAGGAAGATTAGATGGTGTAAAGGATGGTCGTAAAGGGAAATTCCGCCGAACGTATTTGCCTCGATCGTCCTGGTCGGGGCGAGAAAAATAGCCGCCAAGACAAAGCAATTTGTATGTACACTGGGGAAATGTACGCGCGACAACATTACCTATGTACACAGACAGAGACAGACAGACAGAGAGAGAGACCAACTTTGCCTATTCCACATTAATGGAAGTCTCCCTAGTCCCTACTCGACGGTTTTCTCAATGAAAGGATTACGACGCGGTCTTTAAATCAATTTCGCCAACGTGATAGAACTCTTCGAGTTTCCGACATCAGGATTGATCGCCTACCATCCGCGTCGACCGCGTCCTGGATAAGGGCGAAACATTGCAAAAACTTTCACGTAGCATTCAGTCGATGCACGTTCTCAGTGACAAGTAATAATTTTTGAATAATCACCCAGGCGTGTCTCTCTCGTGAGGCAAAATATATGGTATTGTTTCCTAAGTAAGATTGATTCACAATTCACATTTTAAACCGCGACTATCCATTCAAAAATTCGTTGACATGTTAAGGTATATGACTCTCATATTTCAATTTTCGGAATTTTAAATTCAGAATTTTGATAACTTCCTTTATAAATATATCAATAAATTATACATACTAAAAATAGAAAAGATTGGTTTCTTCAAAGATTTTAAGAATAAGAAAAAAATTATATTTAACGGAAAAACAAAACCTTAATGTTCAAATAATGGTAAAATATATCGATCGCATTTTATATTCTGAAAGTCAAAGTAGCAAGTGTTAACAAGAAAAAACAAAAGTCTATTCTTCGTCAAAGTAATTCTTATATTAAAATGCTTTTAAGATCAAACTCGCTAAGCTCTACGTTTTATTGAAATAATGTTATATGGTATTCTAATGGCACAGGCCGCAGAGTGTCTTTGTACGCGCTGAAGTCTGAAGTACGGATCACGAGTAAAACAGGCGGATCGCGAATAAAACAGAGAATAAGGGAACATTTTTCGTCTGCAGACGAGCTCTGGAGGTGAGATCGACTAGGAGAGATTCGACTTAAAGGTAGCTAGTGTCTTCAGCACCCTTCGATTTTATTTCCTGTCGGCATCGTCATGTTTCGTGTATTGGTAATAGCGCAAAGTGCTCTTCTCGAAGTAATAGCGGCTCGAAGACGACCCTTTAAGCGACGTTCAGCACTTTACGACCGCTCTTTATAAGGACACCTTACTCTCTTCTCTGAAGCGCGCGCGTACGCCACCGTTCCTCTCACCTTGCACCTTTCCGAACACTTCCGAACCGATTCGCTTCCGTGCGGCTCGAGGAAAAAAATAGCTAAAGTGTGTGCGAGGCAGAAATTCTCTCGAGAGGCAGTCGCTGCGACCGCAGCATTTTTATTTTCATAGCCGATAGAACGGTGATTAAAGGGAAAGTAATTCCCGTCTCTTGATCGATTTTGTGGATGCAATATATAGACGTTCTCGTTAGACTCTGTAATAAGTTTCGGACTGTCAGTTCAATTTTAACTAAATTCCCTTATAGTTTTATATTGTCTTATAAAAAGTTAAATAATTTCGCGCGCGTTAAACTCGATGTAAAGCACGTTCTATTTATAATCTAATATTTTGTATTTATATTTTTTACACTTCTTTGCGTCGCTTCATTTATATACTGTTATATATTTTAACTTTCATAATTGGTATTCAATAGAATAATAAGTAAAAAAAGTGATTTTTATTTTTTGATTAATATCAAAAATCCTATAAACCGAAAATATAAATCCTCTGCACACACAGAATGTGTTGTAATAATTTTAGATTTTTAGCTTTATGATGTTAGATTATACATATACCCCTGATCTATTAAACTGAATTGCTTCATATAAGATTTAAATAATTTCTGCAAGTAATTACAAATATCTTTCAATTCTTTTCACTATTTTCCAATCACATTTTCACATTTTCTTAATTTTTTATCTAATTTCTATCTTTTGGTGCACAATTTTTGAATTTTCTAGAAAAACCTTTTTATATAAGGCATAATGAAGGCAGGTCCTTCGCGACATTTTGTATCGGCGCAAATCATTTCGCTCGTGCCAGTTTTATCGATGAGCAAAGAGCGGAAGGGTAAAGAAGGATAGTGCTTCGTACAATCACCGGTACGCCCTAGAATTCTTCTAAAACTGAATTTCTTCCCAAAGACCGTAAAGTGCACCATAAAAGAGCAACTAACGCAGTTCCGAGAATTCGTGAGTAGTTGAAAATGCAAGGAAGACTTCTGCGATATAAAATGCAGCGCGAACAGATGGACAAAAGATTTCGATATCCAAAGAGAATAGCTTGGTGAATAGTCAATTGGGTTTCGCATTTAATTAAAGATAGTAAAAAATAATGAAAAAGTAGGTATAGTATAATGAAAGTTTGCGATACATTATTTATTAATCATGATTTATGATATTCATGAATAAGAGAAAACTATGAGGATACTTTATCATCGTCCATAATAGTCCGGAAGTAAAAAAAATTATCATTCTTTCTCAATTATACTTGTGCTACTTCGTTTTTAATTCGTTTTGACTCATGTGAAAGTACGTTTTATTTTTATATATAAATACAAGCAATGTACGATCATATTAATAAAAAAATGTATTAAATTGTCAGTTATATGTATATAATATAATATATACACATGTATTTAACAAAATAATTTTATAATTTAATGTATTCACGCTATACATATACATACCGCGCTATATCTGCATAAGCTATTTCAAAGCAATAGTTATTCGTTATCCGATATATATGTAATCAGCATCTCATACGCTAATTAAATGTCGTTGTGTTTTCCAAGTTATCCCATATTCAACAAGATAAATTTTAATTTTATATTTTAGAGACATAAAATACAAAATTAAATCTGCCATGAAACTCGAGCATGTCATATATGCAATGATGGTAGCGAAGGTGTTAAATATTTTCGGTACGTAGTTATATAGTTACACGCATACGGACGAATAACTTATAAATGGAGCTCGACAGTTTGAAATAATTATATTAGCTTCTCGACGATGAAATCGTGTTGATATAAAATATGAAGCTGAGGCCTGATACGCTATAGTCGGTGATGCGAAAAAGCTGCCGAAAGTAAAGATCAACCAACGTTAGAGACATGCAGCAAAGTCACGACTTGAGTAGGTTCTCATTTTCTATCAGTATAGATAGAATATCGGAAACGATTTGGGTCGCTGGGTCGAATCGAATCATAGGACTTGGAGGTTGAGTCTGTCGAGTAGTGGCGCCGACAGGATCTGTCGACGGTGTCATGACGGTTTCTGTACATGCCCTCGAATAATTACACACGAGTGCACTAAGAGGATCTTCGCCCGCGGTCTTCTTCCTTCTGTCTGTTCCTTCCTCTCTCGTGATCTAGCTTTTTCTTTCTCTGATCTTCTTTTAGTCTCTCTCTCTCTCTCTCTCTCTCTCTCTCTCTCTCTCTCTCTTTTTCTTATTCACGCAACTACAGTCGTATTTATATAATAGTGAGTTGTCGAGAAACTTGACACTCTTTAACTTTCTTCTCAATCGAGTAGTTGAAATCCGGATGACGGTGTACAATTCAGCAAGCGTAAATTTAATTCAATATTGCCAGTTTTGAGGATTACAGTGGTGTGTTCGTTGAAGCTCGAAAAGTATTCAGATTCAAATCGATCCTGCGCGAAATGATAAAATTGTTACTAATTTTTATATAACAGAAAGAAGTCGAAAATTTCCTATATTTCTGATGTTTTATATTTTACATTTTACGTCGCTGGTACTCTTTTCAAAACGTATTATGAATATTAAAACTCTTTTAAAGAAAGAGTCAGATTTCTATCAATTATATCGGATTTCTGAAAATAGGGTGCTAATCTTTCAGAGATGATACTTTCCTACACTCTATCAGACGTCGAATATTCTACGAGGAAGCGTGCCCCCTGTGCACGGATCACATTAGGAGTCCAATCGCAGCTGGGTGTAGCCAGCCACTTTTGGATGCATAATGCAGTCTCTCCAGTCTCCGGGCTGCCCTGTCCTCCATGGAAACCGCCTCATGCCGCAACCTATCCGTGTCGTGACCAGGCTACGAACTAACAGCCACGGCTTATATGCGCTCTTGCTCTTTATTGCACCAACCACCCTTGGGCTCGCTGCGATGTCTCGAACCTGCTCTTTACTTTCAGTCACCCCACCTATGGCGCTATCATAATATCGGTTTCATAATTCGTAAAATATGAATTCGATACAGGTTTAAGACTCTCGCGTCAATATACGGCTATATAAGAATTGTTTCGATTCTTTTGAGGGCAAAGCGTAATTGAAATTTTTATGATTATATCCATTATTCAACGAAACTTTAAGAAAGAGCACATAAATG